GGTGCAGTTGCGACTTGACTTCGAGGAGCAAGTCATAGCACGCGGTGTGGTAGCCTTTTTTGAGGTTTTTGAAGACTTTGCTGATTTTTGAAGCTTTTCCAAAACTTCTTTTGCAAGCATTTGGTAAGTTAAACTTTTAAAACTTTTTTTGGGGGGGTTTGGATTTTGGGTTGGGGTGTTTGGAATTCAAGGACTTGGTGTTGGGGGGGGGTTGCAAGAATCTGGAAGCTTGTGTGGTTTTTTTCTGCATTTTTCTGATTTTTTGTGACCATTGGGCCACTCTGCTGGTTTTTTTAAAAAAAAATTCTGGGTTTGAATTTCTGTGTGGTGGGTGGCTGGGGGAACAGTTGAGGAGGGGTTTGCAAGAATCTGGGAGCTTGTGTGGTGTTTTTTTTTTTTTAATTTTTATGATTTTCTGTGACCATTGGGCCATGTTTTTTTTTTTTTAAAAAAAGTTTTTCTGTCATGTTTAGAAACTTAATTTATTGTTCCTTCAATTTTTGAAATGCTCTTTACAGTATGTGTGACTTTAAAGAGCACTTAATAAACTCTTGTTGTACCAAATTTGGCTTTGTTTGGACTTTTTTTTGACCATAGGAACACATTAATTGGATTTCAATGCATTCCTATGGGATTTCGTGCTTCGCAAGACGAAAAATTCGCTAGACGAAAAAACTCGCGGAACGAATTAATTTCGTCTTGCGAGGCACCACTGTACACTGAAGGAGAACTATGAAGCGGTGAAGTATGTGCTGGAGAAAATTGGTTATGATCAGCATAAGTGGTTTATTTGTGTTGACCTGAAGATGGTGAACTTTTTGTTGGGACAACAGTCTGGCTTCACCAAGTACCCATGTTTTCTGTGCATGTGAGATAGTAGGGACTGTACTCAGCATTACACAAAGAAGGACTCGCCTGTGCGGGAGGAATTGGTGCCTTGCAAAGAAAGGAACGTCATCAACGACCCTCTGGTGGACAGAGACAGAATACTCTTCCCACCGCTGCACATCAAGCTCGGCTTAATCAAGCAGTTCACCAAGGCTCTGGACAAGGATGGTGACTGCTTCACTTACTTGTGCCAGGCTTTTCCAGGATTGACCATGGAGAAGTTGAAAGCTGGCATCTTTGACGGTCCTCAGATCCGTCAGCTCATCAGAGATCCAGAGTTCGGAAACTCAATGAACAAAGTGGAACTGGAAGCGTGGAAGGCATTTCTTCTGGTAGTGAAGAACTTTCTTGGCAACAATAAGGCCATAAACTACGCAGAACTTGTCAACAACATGCTGACTGCTTTCAGAAACCTGGGCTGCAACATGAGCGTCAAGATGCACTACCTATTGTCACATATGGACCGGTTTCCTGAGAGCCTGGGTTCAATGAGTGACGAGCAGAGATTCCATCAGGACATGAAAGAGATGGAGACCAGGTATCAGGGTCGCTGGGACGCAGTCATGATGGCTGACTACTGTTGGACTCTGAAGAGAGACCTCCCTGCCACTGAGCATTCCAGGAGTTCCAAGAAACGGAAGTTCAAGCCCTGAAGTTTGAAAAATGGTGAAGCAACATGCAATTTACGTGTACTTACCTTTATCAATGCCCACCATTCAGTTTACAGTAAACCTGACCTGATGGAGAGAAACGGATGCCATTTCCTGATTCAGCAGTGCAAAAATACCCTAAATCAGTTGTAGAAATCTAGACAACATTCAAAAAGTAAAAAATTGTTCCCCAGTGTCCATGCAAATTCCCCCCAGGGAAGGAGGGGGGGGAACGGGCTTCAATTGCAGTTCATCTTGGTACCTGACTCTCGCCCCGGCATGGAATGCGGGGGGTGGGGGCAGGGAGGGGCTGAATGACAAAGCACTTCGCCTCCTGAAAACCCTCCAACGCCGCCATTAAGAAGCAGAGCCTCTCCTGATAATTAGAGCTTAATTGGACTGAAGTACAGGTGTGTGCTAGAAGACTTTAAGGTTTGAATTTGAGATAAGACTTCATTTGGTGCAAAAGATGGGGGGGGGGGGCAGAGGAGATCCTATGGTTTCTTTATTTAAAGTTTTCTTCTCTACATTTATGATTTGGCAACCCTCCTCGGAACGTTAGCTCAAATTATATTTGTACAAGTCAAGATGGAAGAAATGGGATTATAAATACGGAATATAACATCAAACGGAAATGTGAGAGTAAAAAAAAAAGGGGAAAATGGAGGGAAGCTCTATTTTGCAAAAGGTTTATGATGGAAACTTAGAGCTGACTCTTCCCCATCCTTTATTATCTATGAAGTGAACTGAATAACGCTAAGAGGACTTGGAATTTAATTTAATTGGAAGGATAACTGGCTGTATATCTTCAGCTGGAAGGAAGGATGAAAGGAATTTATTAGCTGCCAAGGAACTGATAAGGTTCTTTATTGAGTCATGTGCAGTTCGACAGACCACTCTTCTTCCCAGGCTGAGAGGGAAAATGGTGAAAACAGTTTATTTACTGGGACAGAGTGATTTTTGCGGCTGTTGTTAAAAGTTCTTGGTGCAAAACAACGAAGCACGGGACAGAGTGATGGAGAAATTTCTGGAACAATGCAGTATCAGCTCTGCCCAAGGAATTACAGATAACAGCAACAATTGTGGGGGGGAGATAACATCTTACAAGGACTGGAAGAAATACCATGGACAGAATAGAACTGCCTTGGGCTCATGTGATGGCAATGGAAGAGCTTTGCTGGGAGGGCATCGCCACTTCCCTTCCTCTACCAGTGTCATGGAGGACAGTTCCTAGCCTCCCTCTTACATCGCTGCTTAGCTGTGGCTTGCCTGCCACACTGTACAGCAAAGAATGCAGTTTGTGTCTAGGAATGGAATCCAATGCCCACTATCTGAAGTCTCTACCTGCACCAGGTTCACTTTCCCCAGAAATCTTAACTTGCCTGCTACAGCTCAGGAGTTTGCAAGAAGTCATTTTGTGGCATGAATGATACACATGCCAAATATGTAGATCCACAGTGTAGGTCCTCAATTCTGCCCGTTTTTTGTCCAATATCTCAGCCATCCGCTCCATTATTTTTTTCTTTGAGAGTCATGTCATCAGCACTATATTCAGGAGTCTCCATTTGTGCCTCTTTTGAGGCTTTCTGAGTTGTGGGTATTGTTGTTTGTCCTTATAAAGAGCTGGCAGGCCACACCTCTGTTTTAAGACTCTAACAAGTTTGAAATGTTAAGTACTCCAGAGGATGCTGGCCAGCTTGACTAGTCTGGAATCCTGGGTTTTTGCTGAAGGTGGGCCTCAGAAGGTTCCAGGTGAAGGCCAGATTGCTTCTGCAGGCTGAGGAGCTCCACAAACAACATCCTACATCACTTGCCATTGCCCCATCCTCCACAAGTGAAGGACTTGCAGCGACCTTCTGGGTACCATTCTGCAGGTAACATTAACATTAGTGCAATTCCTATCTCCACAATAAAATAAGTATGGTAGGTAGCTGCTCTCTCTGGGATAAGAATGCCAGTTTAAAGAAAATCAGAAACTTGAGTGCTGGGAAATTTACAGTCTCCCTCACCATTTATTTAGGATACTTATACCCAAAAGGTACCAAAAATGGTTTATTGGCCCTTTATATGTTACCATCACATGGACAGCCCTACAGTAGGAATCAGTCAAAACTGGAGTGAGCAGCAGTTGGTAATAACTGGGAAGAATTTTACATTCATAGGATAACTTTCACATAATATCACAATTTCTGGAATGTCTGCAAACAGCTGTGTTAACAGAAGTAAGTGCTATCTAGCAACTCTAGTTATAAAAATCACATTTTATTTATATTAAGATATATATATATCACCTTTCTGTCATTAAAAACCTCTGAGGCAGCTAACAAATTATTAAAACAATAATACAATATAATGTGACTTTATATCAAACAACTTAAAATGCACCATATTTGTATCATACTTTTTAAATTGTGTCATAATGTAAAGTAACAAACGTAATCAAGATAACTCCTTCCCCAGTAATGGGTAGTGTTTCTTGGTAGACTTGACACAATTGCTCACACACGAGACTTGTTTTTATCATTCATGATGCTCATTTAAAATAATGCACTTTGTTCCCAAAAGGCAACAGTTATGTCTTTAAGCAAGCTGAAGGCACCTGACTGGTACATTTAGAGCAAGCTCTGTATTATAAAGTAACTTTATTACATACCTAGTATGTAACTGAAGACATTTCAGGCAGAGATGGTAAAAGACCAAATTATTTGGAAATACAGATATGTATTAGTTTCCAGTGCCTTTCAGAATTAGAGGCAAATTATAGAAAAATTGACTAATGGAACATTGAAAGAGATGCATTACAGATGCAATGTAATCCTTAAAAAATAATTATAAGCCTAAATAAGGCATCATTCTCAGATGTAAACAACTGCATCTAGTGGTTAATATTTAAAACTACATCTGAAATAAGTAGGCTTGCAAGCAAAACTAGACTGCCAATGTTTTGCACATGAAAACCACCTCTCCATTTCTAAAACAGATGTTGATTTTTAAAAACCAGCATAAGCAGTGCATAAAATCATTTGTCTAGTATTTAGCATCCACATAATTTCAAGCTTCAGGTTTTCTGAACAGAAGCAGCATCCCAAGCTGGGTGACGACACTTAACAATAACATGTTTCACCTTTTGCCATTGTGCACTGAATGAACCGAATAGTAAAGTCAGTCCATCTATCTAGAACTTCAAGCGTGTTTTAATCTTACAAAAAGGACATTTGCCAACAGTCCTAATGGGAAACAGGCTTTCCCTGCCCCTACCTTTTCGGATATTGTTCCTTGTAACCCGTACAATTACTGGCAGAGATCCCACAGTGGGATATACAGTATCTACATTCACAAAAATGAATGTGTGTTTAATAAATAAGTTGATTATAGAAAAAGTGTTTCCATTAGTCCTTTCTGGAAGTAAATTGAAGGATATGTCTAGGTACTTTTTAGTTCATAACAGGGTATGCAGCTTGATCAGAATGTCGTGCCTTTTATAATCACTGAATTTTCTTCTTCATCTTTTAATGTATTTTTGCTTTTAGATGTGTTTCTGTAATTAATTCTGTAAATAAATAGAAAGAAAAACAGGAAACTGTTAAAGCAAAAGCTTGCATGATGCTGTAATACATTTCACATTTACATTCAAGGAAATGCCTCATTCAATAGGCAGATCTGTCATCTACATGTAAAACCAAACTTTGACTTTGGTTAGCCCCACTGCCCAAAGAACATAGTATATTAATCAGACCTTTAATTTGTAAAAAGTATGCTTCAGCTGGCCACTTCATATGGAGCACCAATCCAGATTAGATTCTTACAACAGCTTCTTTCTGAAAATTGTCCTGCGCCCTGCCATGGTGATATTTACCCCCTAAACTGCTACTGCCAATTGCATCTCTGGAGGCAAACAGCATCAGGGGTGGGGATGAATTTCCATTGGGAAACTGGAGAGGGGCTCTGACCCAGAAAGGGATCCAATCGCCTGCTTCTCCTTCATAATAAATTGGTTGGCTTGAGCATATTTTAAAAATTAGAGTGTTTGGTTTGTATCTAAGAAGCTACAATAGAGACAAGTAATTAATATTTATCTAGCTGGCATACCACCCCACTGTTTCTCAGGAATTGAGCCATCTGTTTTCCTTGTTTTCATTATTTCTTGTTGAAATATCTTTTTCAGATCTCCAAGCAACACTACTGACTACTCTGTATACAGTGGTACCTTCAGGTTACATACGCTTCAGATTACAGACTCCACTAACCCAGAAATAGTGCTTCAGGTTAAGAACTTTGCTTCAGGATGAGAACAGAAATCGTGCTCTGGCGGCGCGGCAGCAGCAGGAGGCTAAAGTGGTGCTTCAGGTTAAGAACAGTTTCAGGTTAAGAACGGACCTCCAGAATGAATTAAGTACTTAACCCGAGGTACCACTGTATACTGCTCTAATCCCTTCTATAATCTCTTCTATACTGTCCTAATCTCTTCTATAATTTGATTCCCAACATTTTTACAGCATGACCCACGATGATACTGGCTGCAATCCCTGTTTGTTTAAATAATGGAAGAAATGGTTTCTCCTTACCCTTTAACTCTTAGCATCTGTTCAATGGTATCTGGGAGAGGCATGCCGTAACTTTCCGGAAGAAACAGGGTGACAATTCCTGCTAGCACTGTCAAGCTTCCCATTAGAATGTAGGGAAGAAATCTATCATAAGCACCTGGTAGGAAGCACAGGGGGGCAAGGGAAGTAATAAGTAGTTATTGTCATGATGTTTTGCACAGACCAGTTCTTTGCAAACTGTGTTCTGAGGACTTCTAAGGTTGCTTGGAAGCTTACCTGGAGCCTCTCAACACGAAGATCAGTTAACTTTGCCCGTACTATTCATTGTACCCTGCAATAATACTGAACTGAGTGGCTTGTGGCACTAAAAGGGAGAGTAGTGGTACTTTGCCTGGCAGAAAATAAGATAGCTGGGAACTTACCAAGATATACAAAGTAAGGCGAGAGGATGCTGCCAAATCTGGAGGCCATTGAACTGGCACCAACTCCCATGTTCCTCACAACCGTTGGGTAGAGCTCAGCAGTGTAGACATAAACCATTGAGAACGAGGCTGTGATCCCAAACTTTCCAATCATCACCAGGGTAACGGAGAACACAGTGAGGTCTACAAATGAGAATCAAGCTATGTGTCACTGAAGTTTATCTGCCTTCTGCCATTCACTTTATCCTACTTCTTTTAAACCTGTCTGTTGTAATGGATAGAGTGTCAGACTACGATTTGAGAAACCAGGGTTCGAATCCCCACTTAGTTGAGAAGCTCACTGGGTAACCTTGTGCCAGGCACTGTGTCTCAGCCTAACCTACCTCACAGAGTTGTTGTGAAGACAAAACTGGGTTGGGTTGGGTTGGAGAACCATGTACACCACCTTGAGCTCCTTGGAGGAAAAAGTGGTCCACATATGTAATAAATAAATAGATTCACAAAGACTAGTCATGTTAGTCTGTTGCAGCAAAAAGCCAAAATCAAAACCTAGGCTATGAATCACATGGCACTTCAAAAAGAATATCCAATATGTTGTTCTTTTCAAAAGCTGATATCACAATGTGAAGTGGCTGATAGAACAACCCCACCCCAAATAAAAATATTGTCAGAGTAGTGTTCAGTTGCTGGTATAATAGGAACAAATGAGAGAGCTCATTTATTTATGTACAAACTTTGTATGCCACATCATGTTATAATGGTCCCTGGGAGAGTGACAAGAAATAAGTGTAAAAACAGTTTAAATACAGAATCAAACATAAAACCCCCAAATCTGACAGCATATTCTCAGCACTGTAAGCTCCCTTTCTGTCTTATATTGGTCTTCAGATATAATGAACAGAAGCAGAATAGGCTTCTATTTTAAACTGTGCACTAATGGACAAGTACAGTCACCCGCTCAGTATTCTACCTGTAATGCCCACAGTTCAACCTGCTTGGCCTTGTGGCTTATATCTACAAAAGTAGGGGAAAAGTTCACATCAAGTAAAATATTCTTACATGCAGGTACCAACTGAATGAAGAGAAGGACACATCCTCCTAAGAACAAGACTCCTGCCATTGAATACCGCCGGGGAAGATAATGGAGGAGCAACCAAGAGATGGTATAAGCTGGGACTTCGATGATTGCCGAAAGGAAGCAATTGAGATAGATGTCTCCGTGCAGGTTAGGGGTGTCCAGAGAGAGGCCAAAGTAGCCAATGGAAATGACCATCCTGAAAGACAGAGCTATATTGTAATAAATATTCAGAGGCCTCAGAATAAGTGCTGCATTGGACTAGGCTTTGAAAATTATGTTTTGTTTTATTTAGCAGGATTTATACACTGCCAAATAAAAAAGTCTCTGAGCAGTTTGCATAAAATGGTATCAAATGTTCATTAAAAATGACAATAAAACTGGCTTTAAAAACATAATGAAATTATCAAAATATTGATAAAATCAACAGATTTAAAAAAAAGAAACACACATACATTTACACATGATAGCGAGGGTTCCCAATTAGAAAGAAATGCAATCTGCCCCCGTTTGTTGGCATTCACATTCTTGTCCAGTCCCAACTGTATTAATCCCAGGGGCTCAGACCCCTTGTGAGGGTAATGGCTCAATCTCAGCGTGGAGGGAACATGTCCTTCCTCTCCTCTCCACCACTCAAAGTGGCATGAGAAGGGGACACCCAACAGAGGTCTGGATATGTAGTAATCTGATCAGGCAGCACTTGTAAGAATTGCATTAATTAGACCTCCTGGCAGTTTGCTTGTTTCAAATGGTACTTTCGTTGTGCTGTGAAGAGCATGGGTACACATACCAGTTCCACCACTGACTTCTCTTAAGGTATCTGAACTAAAGGGATTCCTAGACCTCACACACAGGATCTGAAGCCTCACATGCTACCAGACTGCACCACTTTTGATTGTAGGTGGGGAACACAGTCTCTGAACACTCCCTCATGTACAAATCTCCCTATACATTCAAAATATGCAAATCAAGGAGGTGGAGCCCATAAACGTCCCCCTGACATGTTAGTTTTATACATGAATATATATATATATTTAATGTGGATGTGAATTTAAACTTGCCATTGGAAGCAAAATGGCAGCAGACAAACTATGTGAAGCTAGTTGTGACAGCGTAGCGTCCAACTTCAAAACAGCAGGATTTATCTGCTGCAGTAAACACACAAAAAACCAAGGTGAGTGAATCTTTGATAGACATTCTCAAAGCAAATGCTAGCTGGAATAATAGATAAGAGTTTGGGATTTAGACTGGAGCAGAGGCATTTCAATATGCTGCTATGTGAAATGCCACACACACGCATTTATACATAAATAATGTTATGCAATGTGGCTCCTGGGTGCTTATAGGTGTGTGATTACAGCCACAGTCTCAACTACTGTGAATCAACCTAGTTTCCTCAAAATGTTTTGGACCACAACTCCCATCAGCTCCAGGAAGCATAGCCAGTGGTCAGGGATGATTGGAGTTGCAGTCCCCATGACATTTGGAGGGCACTAGCTTGGGGGAAGCTGCTCTGAATTAGCTGTCTCATAAGGAAAGGAAAGCTTTGTGTCTGTTCAGCAACTGCTTACCATAAAATCACACACATGATAGTAATCGATCGGATATTCTGGGTCCTCACCAGGTCCAGAATGCTGTATGACCGCTGGTCCTGGGAATTCACATCTTGTAGCTATAGACAAAAATTACGGATGCACACATGAAAACCTGCTTTCTTTCTCTAAAATAAAGTGGCATTTCATGCAGCAGGAAATGTCAGTTGCATGTTCAAGGTAAATAAGGAATTTTTGCTGTTAAGTGCTGTTGTTTTAAAAAAAAATTATATGGGTGATGATTCAGTGCAGAAGTGGCCACTGCTAATTTGAATGACAGCTCCTGGAAATGTGTGATCTGGTAGGTAGTGTGATCTGGTATTTGTTTAGAATAAATGTGAAACTACATTTTCTGGTTTCTGTGACTGACACTATATTAATTTTCCATGGCTGCACTGAAAAGGCTTTTTTCCATAATTCAGGCTTTTTCCTGGGGATCAGTATAAAGTATCCAGCAAGTTTAACTGTAGTCAGAATAAAGTATCCAGCAAGTTTAACTGTAGTCACTGTGTGCAAATTTAATATATGGATTTTGAACAAAACAGTAGAAGATTTGCAAGATTTTAGGCTGCAAACCACAGGTTGTTCAGTAGGAAGTGTCATAAAACTGTACATGTGTGACTAATTTATATCAATGTACAAAACATCCTGACATTCTAAGCAGGTTGCTTTGTAGTTTAAAGTTCATTCTACTTCTGCCAGCAAATTGTACAGGAGTTGACTCAGGACTAAAGTACAAAATACTGGATCACCCAAGAATTCTATTTTCTACAGATGATCTAAAAAGGTCCTAGCTTTAACATTTATGCCAGCCTAACATAAAGAATAAGTAGAGTGCTGCATTTTAAAGGAGTTGAGAAGCAAATCCAGGATGTTGCCAAATCACAAGTTATAGGATTGCATCCAATATTAATCCTACTCAGAGTAGACAGTTACTAAGACATTATTAATGGAGGTCCATTAATTTAAATGGGTCCACTCTTAAGTCGAACTTAGTTGGATTCAACCCACAGTATAAAATGCTCTTCATATAACATTAAATGGGTTGAAAATGATTGTATATAGATAGGTTCATTACTGGAGAACTAGATTTCATCTCATCAAGCAGAACATTTTAATGGGCACTGCCATATCCAGACACTGGGAAGAAAATGTAAACAGATGCAACACATGGGCAGGTTTACCTCAATGAGGTCAAATATTACATCTGGAGCAGCAACATGGTTCATTTCTGCAGCTTTCCGAATGATGTCTTCTGCTTCTTTAATCTTGCCTTGGGACAGCAGCCATCGAGGCGATTCTGGAATGAACCTGTGATGTTTCAACGTAACTTCAACAGAACAGCCAGGGTTGTTAAGCCTACATCCCAAACCACCATGGTCAAAAAGACTTTAACTTCAATGCTATCCTCTGTCCTCCTTGCATAGAAATACAATGTTGAAGAGCCAGTGTATAAACAGAGCAAGATTAGGGGCATTAGCCTGTATGAAAAGGAGCAATTTATTCTACGCATATGAATGGGCTTTTGGCAGAGGTTACAGGAAGCAACAACCCTGCTAATTCTAACATGTGACTATACATTAAATAACCTAGCAACATAAAAGGGTGTGTGTGTATTATACACGTTAGTGAAGTCGTTTCTACGAGTGGCAAGAACACATTTCAGCAAGTCTCACCCAAAAACAACTCTTAGGGTTCTTGGAGAAACAATAGAAAATAAATTCTTAGGATCTGAAATGTGGTGAATTAAAATAAGTTAAAGACTGAACTGTATGGCACTATGAACCTTTGGTTTTAACTCTTTGGTTTCACATTGCATCCTGTTTCTCCTTTTCCCCTCCCTGCCCCCACTGTAACTTATTATGTGTTACCTAGGTTGTCTGGTAACAAAAATGTATATATATATATGAGAAAACACAAAAATTATATATATAGAGAGAGAGAGAGGGTGGGGGCTGTGAGTCCTAAAAGATCTGCTTCCTGTCTTGCAGGCCTTTTCCACCTTACCTGGGAGCATGGGGCCCAGACTGACTCCAGCTACAAAATCTGAGGCTGTTGAACAGACACTTGGGCTGGGAGTTTTGCTGGGGAGATTGTTGCTGCTGTTGATATTAATTTTTTGTATCTTTATTTCAGATCTTATTATTTCTGTGGAAATTGTTCAGTTTGGTTGTATATTTTTTATGTTTTATTCATTATTTTCCACTACTTCTGTTATGTTGGAACTGTGCATTTTATCATGTTCTAAGCTGCCTCAGCACAGTTTGAACTATGGAAAGGACATACAGTATACAAATAAAATGATGTATGTACGTAATTTGAAAAAAAATAAATCAACTGAGGGTGCCCCCAGTAAAGGCATTAGCTAGCACTAGTTTTTGGTGTAGCTTCCAAAATGTGAACACTTTTATTTAAAATACACTCACCACCACAGTGGAACGTACAGCAGGCCAGGTATAGTGAGAGCCACTAGCAGCATCCGCCAGTCTCTGATGAAGTAAGCGCACAGTGGCAGCAGCATGTAGCCAAACGCATAAAATATGCAAACGCCTAATGTGCAGTAGATAATACGGACTGATTTGCCAAGTATTTCTGTGCCTGTTCAAAACAAGGGAGTGTTGATTAGCCTTTTAACTTTTAAAAAGCCCTCTTGTTTTACCCAAATGTGTTTGGAAAACATTTTAAAAAGCCTAGTGCATCTTCCTTGGATATAAGATATGCCTCTACTTCTGTCCCTGATCCTGCATAAAGAAGAGTATTTAGATTGATAGTGATGAGTGAGTTCCTCATGATCAAGCATTTGCTGTATATGATAGTACATAATATTCTGGGTTAAGAGGATGTAATATATTGAAATACAGTTCAAAAAGATAGTCTAGCCTTCACATAAGATATTTATTAACTCTCTAATGGCCACTGGATGCAAGACCAAATGAATGGTTAGCAAAGAATTCACACTCTAATCTTTGCCAGTACTGCAGGCTAGTATATTCATTCGGTTAGAAAGAAATAGATGTCTGTATGCCTCTTTGATATCTTTCCAATAAAAAATAAAAAGGCACTGGGGATACAGTCATACCTTTATAACATAATACTTAATTTGACCCTTATGCTGCTTAAATCCCATTCAATTCTACAGTATGAAAGACTGAAGCCACAGGACAAAACGCACAATTAGCTTATGGGAAGACTGCTATAGGTTCAATAAAACCCTGTCTTCTCTATCTGTTCAATGTGTATGTTGGGCTATTATGAAGACTGGAAGGTCTGCACACCCTAACATCTTCCACTGCAGACTCTGTTGCCATTTCAGTTTGGTAACTTAAAACTCAGAGCTTGAGTGTCTTACACACTCTTACACAGAGTGAAGAGAACGAGCTGTATGGGGCTAAGGGAAACGTGTACAGCAGGGGTCAGCAATTTTTTTTAGCAGCAGGCTTGTCCACTGTCCCTCAGACCTTGTGGCGGGCCGGAGTAGCAGCACCGGTTGGGAGGGGTAGCTGGAAGAAGAGACGAGGGGGACAAGTAGTCCTCCTCTCCACCCCCTAGCCTCAGACCCAGCCGCTGCACTTACCATTCCAGGGGCTGCCGCCACGGCTGCTACTTCTGCTTCTCATGGGTAGGCAGAGCAAGCCTGTCCGCTCCACTCTCTCCACAGGAGCACCAGGGCGGCGACAGCGATGGGAGGAAGATGGGAGGAAGAGGCTGAGCAGTGGCAGCTCTACCAATCAAATGCTGCGGAATGGGGACATCTCTGCCAATCAAATGCCGCAGAGGTAAACCAGGCACAGTGTTTGAGTGGCAGAGCAGCCACTGGTCAACCTCTTCCTCCTGTTGCCATCACCGGGAGTCTCGGCTTCACGGCACGGGCCAGATTTAGAACCCAGGTGGGCCTGATCTGGCCCGGGGGCCGTAGTTTGTCGACCCCTGGTGTACAGCTTGCCCAATCTTTATAATGGCTTAGCATGCACTGGGAGGGGGAGGAATGTATTGTGGGAGGAGGAAGAGCCCCTAAACATAACATCGCTCGTTGAGAAAGTTGGCAGTAATACTGAGAATTCATACTCTGCTTAAAGACTGTTACATACCAAGTACAAACGCTGCCACATAATTAGAGATCTGCCCTATTCCAACTATGAGAAACAGGATGGAAAACATCTCCCAGGTTGTTGAGAAGATCTGGAGGAAGCTAAAGCCAGTCTGGACTCCCATTGTGACAAACAGCACATTTTTCCTTCCAAACCTATCATGGGACAAAGATAAATAAAAATCATGTTAGTTTATGAAACATTAAAATAGTAGAAATCTAGGGTCTGGGGTGTATATTTGTGGGGATTAATATTTATTAACTTTCATGGGGGTCCTCTTGATCACATCTCCCTCAGCCATGTTTTCTCTCTGCATCAGGGGTACCCAATCTGGTGCCTTCCAGATGTTGCTGGACTGCAAGTCCCATAATCTTTGACTACTGGCCACATTAGCTGGGGTTGATGGGAACAGTAGGTTGATGGGGACCCTTTCCCCTACTAGAGATAGTATGCCCTTGAATACCAGTTACTGGGAGTGGGGAGAATGATGTTGTACTCAGGTCCACTCAGTGGGCTACACATAGACACCAGGTTGACCACTGTTAGAAGAGATTGCTAGACTAGGTTGGCCTTTGGCCTGATCCATCATGGTTCTTCTTATATTCTTAAAGAGAACCAAAACATTTATTTGGGTTGGAAGCAGAGGAAGTTTCTCTGGATTCAAACTTTTGTTCCCATTACTTTAAACTGCTGTACTGGGGACCCAAGTTTGAGAAACACTGTGGCTTGTGCCATGATAAAAAAAGCCACTTGTAAGGTAGGTTGGCACTAGAGTAAAAATCCAATAATTGTCATCTGCCCAATGTATTCAATGTTTACTTTGCATTTCAGGTGTGATATGAATTATGACTTCTTGCTTTTATTTTTAAACAAAGCATGGCTATTTTGATGTGTTTTCTGTGATTATTTAAACATATGCAGGTGTTTCAAATTACTACTTTAAAGGTTATGGAAAAATTCTTACATTTTCAGTAAACATTTATCTCCAAAGGGAAACATTTTATTTTTAGCCAAATTTGCCCTGCTTTTTAAATACAATGGACAACTCAAACAGAATAAGGATATGATGTTTTTACATTGTTGCTGTTCTTGAGTAGTTCTTTTATGATGTATCTTGTTATCAAGTGATTTTTAACAGGTTGTGAGAGTGAACTGGATTGAGATGAAAAATGGGAGCGACAGTTGCGCTGTATGTACTCCAAGCAGAAAATTGTGTTGTCTATGCAGATACAGTACTAAGTTGCATTATTACATTTCAATGTAAGGGCAATATCACTTTACACTGTGTTTTATGTCCTGCCTGACCCCTTGAAAAAAAAGTGCAGAATTTAAGCTGAGGTTCAGGCATGAAAAGTACAATTGTATCCTAAATATGTTCAGTACATAACATCCAGTTTCATTTTCATCAGAGCTACTGCATTACATACATACACAGAGATATCTAAGCAGGTAAGTTAAGCCAAAGCTTGGCCATAAAACACATCACAATGAAATTTTGTTTTACTTATTTCATAATGTCAAAATGGCATCATTCATAGTTGTGATAAGCATATCTGAACGATAAAGGAAAATATCAAATATATTAGTTTCTGTTGTGCTGGCAGCTTAAATTGATGGCTATGTTGATTATTTAAAATTGCTCAAGGGTGGAAAGATGGCATCACTCAAATTATTGTTTGAGATACTACTGTAAATACAAAATTTGATGAAATACCTCATGCTTAACTAAAAGAAAAAAAGTTATGGGAAGCATGTTGTGCTCTCAAAGTCCATCACAGATCGTGCAATCAAGAAGAACCAGGCATTTTGGTGTTACCTATTTAGAAATCAGCTAATTCACTACAGTTGAAAAATAAATCCATGCAATGCAGAAACTTAGCTCTGACTGATTTTTAAAGAGTTGTGTCTAAAAAAACACACAAAACCATTAATATATACACTTTACCTGTCTGAGAGTTGTCCAGATACAAAGGAGCCAATCAGTACGCCCACAAAGAACAAAGAGGTAGTTAGAGGTGCTTTCCAGTCGTTTTCACACACAAGATCCCACTGTAAGAGAGAGAGAGTTTCAATATTTTTGGCATGCATGTAATGTATATGGCCCATTTTCTACAATAACCAAATAGTAACCTACCAGATTACTACTAGAATGGACTTTTTAAATTTAAGAAGTACCTTTGTGTGTAAATCAGAATTCAATGCTTTGATCTAAAATCTCTTACACCAAATGCCTGTTTGGTCTATCTGTTGAGGCCTTAGGTCAGGGGTCAGCAAACTTTTTCAGCAGGGGGCCAGGTCCACTGTCCCTCAGACCTTGAGGGGGGCCAGATTATATTTTGGGGGGGAAAGGGAAAAAAGAACGAAGTCTTATGCCCCCCAAATAACCCAGAGATGCATTTTAAATAAAAAGACACATTCTACTCATGTAAAAACATGCTGCTTCCCGGACCGTCCCTGGGCCGGATTTAGAAAGCAATTGGGCCAGCTCCGGCTCCCAGGCCTTAGGTTGCCTACCCATGCCTTAGGTTAAACCATCAAAGAACAAGGCTCTACAGATGCTGAACTACAGAGCTGAATTCTTAGCATAGGGTGATTCAGATAAAAATGAGTGGAATTTAAAGGAATTTTTTGTTTAAATTTGAAGGTTGCATTGTTGACAATATATTTCTAGATACACAAGCAAGCGCAATGACTTGGATCCCAGGTTGTTCCTCCATTCATGAAAGGGGGAGGTCAATTGCCGCCAACTACTGCCTCGCACTGCACCACCGTATCACACATTATTTTCAAGGGTTTCCCCAATCCCCAAGAGCAGATTTTCAGGGGATACAGAGGGAAGGTGAAAAGTGTGAAAGCCCTGTTCTGTGAACAAAAACTCTGTTATATTCATGTAAGGGCTGTTAGGATCCAAGCCAGTGAGTATGTTTTTTGTTTTTTTTTAGTAATGTGCACATTTTCCTAAGAACAGTTGAAAACAGACTGTCAGAACATCAGAGTCTGAGACCAATGCTTAACACTTCAGGGCAAGGGTGACCCCCTGCAGCCCTCCTAGGCAGTATGGTCAATGGTCAGAGATGAAGGAAGCTGGAGCCCAACAATATCTGGAGAGCCACAGAATATATACCTCCACTTTAGGGGGTGCAAATTATGGTTGAGTTTTCACCCCCTGCTCACCAAGTTGCAATTCTCTGGTAGAAAATGAACGCTGGATTTTTCCCGAGGCACACAGAAATGCTTCTTGAATTGTAGCCCACAGAACATACTTTTGTTACAGCTTCAAATTGCTTTTTTACGCCTTATCTATATTGACTTTGCCACGTGCAAAGACCTTCTAATCTGCATCAGTGAGACATCTGCCCTGAAACTGGAGGGGAATCAGCATTAAATGCTACCTAAAGTTGTGTTTGCACAGGTGAGACTGTGCTGTTTCCGTGTAAGCTTAGCATGTATTTAGCTCAACAGCAGTTAGAATTGCAGTGTAGCCTAGTAGCATTACTTGGGACAGATTCAGAACTGAATATAGCAAATCAACTCAGGCAAGAGCTATTTTCATTCTCCGATACCTTTTAGGCAAGGTTACTGAAGTTCACAGAGCTAGGCTGCAGGTCTCACATAATGCTAAATGTAATGCCATTTCTCATGCAGAGCATGTAACATCATTAGCAGCAGAAAAATATATACCTGACTACTTTTTCCTGACCTTCACATACTAGTCTATTCCCTGCCACCGAGATAATTCAGATGATGAAATCCACTCAAAGTTGCCAAAGGCATGTCAAATCCTAACAGTCACAAGAGCTGCTACTTGGTATATCAGGCCAGATAGTGCATAAAACATTGTCAGAGAGGATTAGAAGGGTCTGCATTGCGCATGATGATAATGCTTTATCTGCAAGGTGTGACACAGAAAGTCATTCAGCATGTGGTGGCCACTTAATTACGTATCTCAGGGCACTCCACTTAAGATGAAAGACAAATTTCATAACGTATACTGACAATGTGGGATAGTGGAAGGCCATCAAAGTGGGGTTCAATGAGATAAAACAAAACACAACAATACAAATTCTAAAATCAATTAAATAATAATAATAGTAGTAATAATAATAATAATAATAATAATAATAATAATAATAATATAATATTTATACCCTGCCCATTTGGCTGGGTTTCCCCAGCCACTCTGGGCGGCTCCCAACAGAGTATTAAAAATAGAATCAAACATTAAAAATTTCCCTAAACAGGGCTACAAACTCGAAAAACAGCAAAACCATTAATACAAGTGTACAATTTACATTTAAGAAATATTTGGCTCACACCTCAGGTAAAGCCTTCTTAAACAAAAATGCATTTAGTAGGTGCCTAAACTTCATGACACTGAGTGCCAGTAAAATATTGGCTGGTAATTGATTCCAGGGGGCTGAAGCTGCAACACTAAAACACCTCTTTCTAGAACAAGCACAGCTCCTGGGCATGCAGTACTCTTAGCAGTGCCCCATCTAAGGGGCACACTTGCCAGAAAGGGATATATAGAGTGAGGTGGTTACTTAGGTAACCTGGTCCCAAGTTGTTTAGGACTTTAAATGCTAAAAACAAAATACTGAACTACATCCGGTGGCATAACGGCAGCCAGAGCAATTCCCTCAACAGGGGTGTTTTATCTATTTTATTTATTTATTTCACAAAATTTGTATGCTGCTTGATTGTTAAAAACAACAACAACAACACACCCTCAAGGCAGTTTACAAAACAATAAAATCAAGAAAAATGTACAATATATTAAAACATACAAAAAGTTAAAATATGAAAACAGATTAAAATTCACGCAAGCATTTCTAAGCATCTGTGTAGGCTTGCCTAAACAAGAATACAGTGAAGTCACACATGCTTGAGATCAATAGGCAGGGAGTTCCAAAGTGTAGATGCTGTCAGACTAAATAATTGAGTTCTTACAAATGCAGAATGGTTATTATGCGGCACCTGTAGTAGTGCCAATTCCGCTAATCGAAGTGGTCAAGTGGGCACATATGGGGTAAGGCAATCTTGTAGGTGAACTTGTCCCAGGTTATTAAGGGTTAGATGATGTTGTCCCCAGTCAACAACCTAGCTGCAGCTTCCAGGTTAAACCCAAGGGAAGCCCCACACAGAGCACAATGCAGCACTCCAGTCTTGGGGTCACCAGTGCCAAGACCACAGTAGCCAAGCTATTGGGTGTATTAACTATGGGCATCTTGCAACTCCACGGATTGCATTACACAAACAGGTTTTCCACAGGGGCTATGGTCATAAATTTCTCATTCTATAAATTAACAGAATGGGCTGCATCACTTCTGCCTTGGACTGGAAAGTTACAGAAGCGTTGTGGCACAGCACTGGTCTGATGTGTAGGGCATCTCCTGAAGGAGACCTATTTCTCAGGTTACAAAACTTGCAGGCCCGGCATAGCAGAATGTGGCCTTGATATTAACAAACGTTTCCATAGTGCAGCTCTTATAAACATAGTATCAAGAATGGCCTCCGAATATTCAATTCCACCCTGATGACATAAACACAGTTATCTTGAATATCATCACTGAAGTATGTGATGTCTATTTTCAGGGACGTACAAATGATTTCATTCTAAACCTAATAGGAAATGTTTTCAAATCTGAGCTTTCAACCAAGGAAGTCTCACTAAACTCAGTGGAATTCATTTCTGAGTAAATAACCTTAGGATCATGCTGTTGATATATTCATTTTTATTTCACCCTGCTATCATAACGTGTTTCTACACACACACCCAATTTGAAAATCTGTTTACTGACAGTCCTAGGTACAGGTAAGTAACTAGGGTCAATCGTCAAAATGGTCACTGCCAACATTCACTGTGGATATTCGCAAGGTGAATACAGTGGTACCTCAGGTTAAGTACTTAATTCGTTCCTGAGGTCCGTACTTAACCTGAAACTGTTCTTAACCTGAAGCACCACTTTAGCTAATGGGGCCTCCTGCTGCTGCCGCGCCGCCGGAGCACGATTTCTGTTCTCATCCTGAAGCAAAGTTCTTAACCTGAAGCACTATTTCTGGATTAGCGGAGTCTGTAACCTGAAGCGTATGTAACCTGAAGCGTATGTAACCTGAGGTACCACTGTACAGCACTCAGTCATACGTACGGTAGTAGTCACTATCGAACTACCAGGTTATTAGATTTTTACATCTGTGTGGAGGAAATATTGCATTGTAAAATGTGACCCACTCTTACCAACGTTTATCATGTGCTATTTTGGCTGTTTAAAGCCACTGAAAAAGAAGGTGAGAAAGCAAGTTCCTGGGGAAACAGTACATTACTCAGTGGAAACCTTCAACAAAGAGTATTTTTTTCAGCCTGGTGAGCCTGAATCCCCTGGGTCCAAATGACACTTTCTGTGACTGTGGCAGACACTTTTACAGTCTGATCCCAATCAGAATTAGGCATGCCTAAACCCACTGATTCCAATGGTCTCAGATATACCAAATTATGTACAGGATGCATGACAGAAGTGGAGATTCTTTGTAGCCTGTGCATGTGTTAGATCAGGAGGGAGAAAGACATAATAGCCTGGTGTTAACCCAGCAGCAGGACAACCAACCATCAAGAACTGGGTTGGGATCCTTATCCTATGCATCTTTACTTACTAAGAGAAATAGGTCACACTGAATTCAACTATAATTACTCCAATGTAACTGTCCACAGGATAGCAGTCTCACTTTATAGAACATTTGGACATTAGGAAATGCTATAACAGAAATACAGCAGATTTCCTCCTTTCCTTTTTAAGAAAGACCTTTACTATTTTTTAGAAAACCTTTTTTAAAATAAAATAAAATAAAATAAACAGGTCAACTTCAAACTGTTGCTTATGAAGCAGGCTTGTTTCAACAAAACATAGTTAAAATTAACAAGCATTTATGGTTCAGATGAAACACTAAACTGTGTTCAATCAAAAATGGAAGCCAAAGTCCTGAGCTCTTCTTTATGGTTACACAGGAAGAGGAAAGGGGAAGGGAACCATGAAGGCCTGGCTTATCATGAGATCTGAACTTTCCACGTGTGTAACTTTGGCACATATAAGGACTAAGATCTGACACAGGGAGGGTTCCTTTCCTGTCATAGAAATCCAATGCTGGTATCCTCAGTGACCTTTAAACACAGCAGAGCACAGAGGGCTTTGATGGATGCAGATAATGGGACTCATTCTTCATCAAATGTGAACACTCCCCACCCCTTCGAAAAATTTATTGTAAGGCTGAATCTCAGGCAAAGGTCACCTTGACTAAATGGCAAGGTAAGGCAAGATAGGACTGAGCCAACAGATTAGAGAGTTAAGCACATTTAAAATTGAAAGTGGGAAAGTAGGTGAAAGGCCATTTATGCAACTGCTCCAGTCAACATAAACACAACACCTTTATAAAGTGTTCAGTTGCTCCACATCTTTGGCTATGAATTGCCAACTGCGCTTTTACCTAGCTATACAATTTTTTTGTTTCTTTTATAAGTGTCATTTGAGGCAAGGATAGGAGTAGGTATATGGAAGTTCTGAAAACTAGGGCAAAGAGCATATATTACTTATGGGTAGAGACTTGTATGTAGGGTGGGGCATGGCTTTACAGGAAAGAAGAAATGTAAGTAGGTTAAAGGGAACTGTGTTTCCTAGATGCTTTTATGTTATCTTTATACACTATGCTGAACTCAGTGCATGGGCATATAATGCACCATTTCCCCAGTCCCTTTGTACTAATTACATAAGATTGTGTGCCATTCATATTAGACTTTGTCCTATTTGATGAAACTCCAGGGTCCAAACTAAGATCCTATGGAATATGGCAAACTGTAAAATATTTATATCTGCTTGTCTCACTTATTTATGAGACAAGCAGAGTTCATATTTCTAAAACATTACTAAAGGAATGTAATATAGGAGACTACACAGTGCAACAGCATAATCCCACGAATATTTATTCGAAGGTAAGTCCCACTGTGTTCAATGGGGCTTAGTAAATGTGTTTAGGACTGAACTCTAGAAGTATTCTGATAAGGGAAGGCTAAATTCCTTAAATTAGTGCTGGGCATATACATATTTTGCCTAACTCACCTTTGTAGATTTCAGGTCGTGAAAGTGGGGCAAAAAACCCCTCCCAATATTGCATTAATGTCTGTGTGTACGTATGTAATTTCGGAATCTTCCGTCTTGAATGGACATACAAGAGGGATTATTGGATTGAATTGTACTATTTATATTTTACCACAAGCCCTGTAAATATTACTAAAACATTTCTTAAAGTCACTCTAGGTGGCCAGATACAAAGGAGCGTAAGAGTCCCTGGGAAGAGCATTTCACATGTGACAAGCCAATAGGCGTTAAAATCCTAAAATCCAGATCCTAAGAAGGTTTCTTCATGAGTAGTCTTACAGTATCTTTTGAGGCTCTGATGCTACTCCTTCTTGTAAGATGGTATTCATTCTTCCCTGGACACGCAACCCATTCATCTGTCACCCACAATATTATGAACTATATGGGACAAGCATACAGCGCACTTCATACCCTCAGAAAGAAAAGCAGGAAGGTGGCCATGTATATTTTTAAAAAGGTAAATGTGGGCTTCATGTTGCAGATTGCAGTTAACAGTGGGGCCCTGGATCTGAAAAAGGCCACAGATCGTGGAAGCATAGCAAATATAATGCTGGAATTATTAAGAAAATAACAAAAATAATATAAAAATATGAACGCTGCATACCTGGTTAAGAGGTTTTTTTAAATATAAACCCCCCAAAGCTTTGAATTATTCTAGTAAGTGAATAGTCAAATAGCCTTTGCCTGGTTTGTATTTCATCGCACTGAATTATCCCTAGTATGAACTGCCTCCTTGGCTCTTGCACTGACATGGTCTCCTACAGTGAATTGCAAGAAGGATTAGCTAGCAAACATAATAACTTCTGAGCCAGATTCTAGCCATGGAATTTGAGGTCTTACTGGGTTCAGTTTGAGCACTGCATACATTTGCTAGTACCAGGGGACATGGAAGACTGAAATTTTCAAGCTTTTTGAGTATGTGATCCTTTCTGAATACAAAGGTTGTTTTCAGATGACCTAATGTTCAATAAAGTTTGTGGAAAGTTCATTATGATGTTGTCTGTTTATTGAGCATACAACCCAATTTGTTTGCCTGGACGCTGTGCCAAGCAGCTGTTGTCCTACAATATCCAGTGCAGTTTCCTATCGCTTTCCTTACTGAATAAAGTCCAGGTCCAGCCCCCTGAATAAAAGCTGGTTTGTTGTGCACGAGTATCAGATCTACTTTTAATTGTGTAACCTGAATTTAACAGTATGCAAGACGTTATGCATCTTTAAACAAGACAGACCAGCTGACATCAACCTGTCTCCATGCTCTTCTGCAGCCACTGCCACAATATGCTCTTCCTGTTGCTGTGTGGATGCTGCTAAAGGCCCTCTGGGCCAATCTCACCCATGTCTTGCTCTAAGGAACATGGGTTCCTTCCTCCATGAGCAAGGTAGTCCCACAAAGTGCCTGGACTGATGTCACTTTGCAGTCACAAATACAGTTTGATGTTTCCCAGTAGTAAACTGTGGAACTGCAAACACGTGCTCTCCAAGCCACTTTGTCCACAATGGTTCACTCTTAGAAAGGACCCTTCTTCAGACTGAGGCACATGAAACGCTTTAGGAGTGTTTCTGCCACTATGCTGCAACAGCAATATGACAGCAGCACCCCTAGAATCATAGGGGCTGGGATGGAGGTGGTGATTGGCTGGTCAGTGGTGGCATCAGCTGCATCAGCACTGATCCACTGCTCTTCCCTCTCAGAAGAGCTGCTCAGTCAGTTCAACATCCTGTTCTCACATTGCTGAACCAGATGCCTGTGGGAAACCCGCAAGCTGGATTTGAGCACAAGGACACTCTCCCTTCTGGGGTATCCAGCACCTGGCATTCATAAGCATTACTGCCTCTATGGAGGCAGAGGATAGCCATACAGTAATGACTAGTAAAGGTAAAGGTACCCCTGACCGTTAGGTCCAGTAGCGGACGACTTTGGGGTTGCGGCACTCATCTCGCTCTATAGGCCGAGAGAGCTGGCCTTTGTCCGCAGACAGCTTCCAGGTCATGTGGCCAGCATGACTAAACGGCTTCTGGCAAAACCAGAGCAGCGCACGGAAACGCCGTTTACCTTCCCATGGGAGAGGCACCTATTTATCTATTTGCACTTTGTAATGACTAGTAAGGTAAAGGTAAAGGGACCCCTGACCATTAGGTCCAGTCGTGACCGACTCTGGGGTTGCGGCGCTCATCTCACTTTATTGGCCGAGGGAGCCGGCGTACAGCTTCTGGGTCATGTGGCCAGCATGACTTAGCCGCTTCTGGCGAACCAGAGCAGCACACTGAAACACCGTTTACCTTCCCGCCGGAGCTGTACCTATTTATCTACTTGCACTTTGACGTGCTTTCGAACTGCTAGGTTGGCAGGAGCAGGGACCGAGCAACGGGAGCTCACCCCGTCGCGGGGATTCGAACTACCGACCTTCTGATCAGCAAGTCCTAGGCTCTGTGGTTTAACCCACAGTGCCACCCGCGTCCCTGTAATGACTAGTAGTCACCACCAAACAAGGGGACCTGACATGGGAATAGTCAGGATTTATGTTAGGGGAGGCAGAACCTCAGTTTGTTAAGTAGTTAAATATTTGCATTGGTTTATTTGATTGTGGGGGTTGCCCCCTACCCCCCCCAGCTACGCCCATGGGCCCTGAACCTCTATCAGCTAAGGCTAGTATTAACGGTCTGAACTGAAACATATTTCTCCTTCCTGAAGAGCACTTGTTCCCTGGTTGTGGACACTGCAGTCAGAATTACGTAGGTAGGATGGAGGTGGGAGGAAGAGGGAACAATTTTGCCTTGAAGCAGGGTTTTGAACGAAACAGACCTTTGGTCCATTCCAACTCCTGTGATTGTGCAAAACAAGTTTTGCATACAGGGTCAATCAAGAGCAGTTTCTAGACTGTGTAGATCTGATACTCTCAAGCAGTGCTATGGACTATGCAAACTTTCGGCATATGTTAGTAAAATATTTTACTAAGTTACTATGTATGTAAAAGTACTGACTCAGAAAATGCTACACATCTACACATGGAAAAGTTTGTTTACAGAAACTTATAATGCTATCCAACTTTAACATAATACTTTGAGGTAAGTTCCACTGTAACTAGTGATGCTTACTTTCAAGTAAATAGGCATAAGAGTGATGTGCCAGAACACATTTGTTTTAATCTGAGATAATTAAACCCAAAGCACATAAGAACTTAAACTACTTCAAAGCTATGGGAAAAGCATGTTCCTCAATTTTCTTTTAACCATTTCAACCCATTTAAAGGTTAACTACAATTATAATTTAAGGTTGACTACAACTATTATATAATTAAAGAGCTAAATATTTTCTTAAGAATAAAAACAAGATAGATATATGAAATGCACAGGATGTAGCTCAGTAGTAGAGCAACTGCTTTGCATGTAGAAGGTTCCAGATTTAATCCCCAGCATCTCCAGATAGAGCTGCAAATCTCCCCAGTCTGAAATCCAACAGAGCTGCTGCAAGCCTGCCAGTGAGTATTAACCACAGGAAGCTAGATGGACCAATGGTTTAACTTGTTATAAGGCAGCTTCCCATGTTTCTAAGTATGGGAAAGTAACATGCCAGTTCCACTGTCTCTGCTCCTTCTGCAATTTTCCAAAAAGAAGTAATGGAGCATGCAAATTTTCTCTGTATTGTACTGAAGGAAGCTATTGCCTGCAGTAATTTAGCAAGTAATAGAACAATTGTACGTGTGGACGTGTTCATTGTTATTGGACAATACTGCACTATATTTTCCATGCTTTTCTTGGATATACAAATAAATGAGTAGGTAGGTAAAATCACAGAATGGTAAAGTTGGTAGGGGCCAAGAGGGTCATAGTCCAACCCCTCATAATCTACTAATAACTCTAAACCCAACTGCAGCACCCAAATGAACCCTAAAATGAATGGCCTTTCAATTCTCATCACATGCCAGGGAATGTTTGGAACAGTGACCTTTGTTATGTGGCTTCATAAATCATACTACTATTAAGTTCTTCTGCCATAAATCTGTAGCAATTTGTCAGCAGCTCCAGCTGCGCACACTGTGCGACAAGCTACTAGACAACAATTACAAAATCTTGACTGGAGTAATTCAAATTGCCCTCATTTCTGTTTGCCAGGGGGAGAGAGAGAGAGAGAGAGAAGAAAGCATTCTACATGCAAATATATGTTCTAGCTTACTTTAAAGTAACTTTAAAGTAAGCCAGTTAGAATCACTGTCAACGAAGAATAATGTGTTTACTGGGATATAATATTGCCATTATTCCAATTTTGTTCTGATGGTTTTCTTTTCTTCCTCTAAAAGTTACTTCTCCATAAAAGTCACAGGACTCTATGGCAGGGAGAGTCAACATAGGAATGAAAAGGAAACTGAGGGGAGTGCTGTTGTGCTCTTGTCCTGCCTGTAGGCTTCCCAGAAGTGCATCTAGTTGGCCAATGTAAGAACAGAAGACCGAAATAGATGGGCTTTTGGCCTGGCCCAGAAGGACTCTGTTTATGTTATTGTGTTAAAGCTTTCTTTAACAACAAGCCTGGGCATTACCAACTTCTCATTCTGTTTCCTGTGTGGCAGAAGTCACTCAGGCTATTCCTCCTTCCTCCTGCATTCCCGGGGTAAAAACCAAGAAGTATCTGTCACGAACATGAGAAGCTAAGGAGCCACTGGTCATGTTTGGCACCATAGGAATAGATAGCAAGTTTGGACTTATTTGCTCACTTTAAAAAGGGAGGTGACCTAGAGAAGAGAGAGGGGAGCTGAAGAAAGGGCACCCCCCCATCACGCATGGGCCAGGGCGATCTCGGAATTTGATGGATACCTGAGTTTTAGAAGAAGAAGAGAGATCTTGCAAGTGCACCAAGAAGTGCCTGGCAGGTTAATTTTTTAAAGAAACGACCACAGCAGGGAAAATGCCAAAGACATGTCAAGTTGGTAACAGAGCAGGCATGGAATGACACAACGAACTGAGGCTTCTGAAAGCATCGCTCTCCTTAGGTCTCTTGGGTTTCTGCCCTCCGATCCCTTTCTCTGAGGAGCCCCGAGAGGCGTCCAAGGTTTCTAAAGCGACCCTGCGAGGTGGGGCTAGGAAAGTTCACGGGGTGATCCGGCCATTGGCCCAAGGTCACCCCGTGAACTTCAGGGCTGATCGAGCGCCGCTCAAGTCCCAGCCACGCGCTCTCCTCTCCATGCCCCGTCCAGAAGAGGCCACCTCGCCAGCAGCCGCCCCTCCTTGCCTCCCTACCTCGCTGACGATGGTGGAGAGGTAGGGCTCTCGGCTGTACTCCCAGCCGTCCAGGCACTTCTCCTGCTCCACCTGGCTGAGGTTGACGTCCCGCCCGGGCACCAGGTTGCGGGCGGAGAAGTTGGCCAGGGCCTCCAGGCTGTAGCGGCGGCAGCGCGACGGGACCTGCCGCCTGCCGCGCTCCTCCAGCGGGATGCTGGCGTTGAGCCACTCGCGGCTCAGGTTGGCGCTGGCCGGCACCCGGCACCGGTGCTCGGGGGTGTCGATGAGGAAGACGGCCGAGAGCCCGTTGAAGCCGTTGGGGATGATGCTGGCGCTGAGCAGGAAGAAGATGAGGCGCTGGAAGGGGCCCCACTCGCCCAGGAAGGCGGTGCTCTGGTCGTAGTCGTACATAGCGGGCGGGCGGGCGGGAGGGGGGCAAAGCGAGCGCGCCCTGGCCGGCCGGCAACGAACAAGCGAGGGCCGAAGAGCCGCCTTCTGCTACGACATGTGGCCGCAGCCTCTCTCGGCCTGGGCGGGGAACAGGCGAGCCGCTGCTGCCGCTGCTGCCGCCGCCGCCGCCGCCGCCGCCGCTATGAGGTAAAGTGCGGCCGCGGCTGCCGGCAGCAGCAAGTGCTTCTTCGCACGGGGAGCGGGTGGGTGTGGTTTGTACACAAAGGCCTAGAGTCGCGCTGGGCCCCGAGCCAAGGCGGAGGCCGCGGCGTCCCCGTGCGTGAGGCGGCGGCGGCCAGCCTAGTTACGGGGTCTCTTTTTGCTTTCGGCATTTCCCGTCACTTGTAATGCAGGCGGCCTCCTCGGCGAAGAAGCTGGCTCCGGGGTTCGGCGGCCGCACCGTAGTCTGGGCAATATGTGTATTGCCTCGCAGCCGGCCCGGAGAAACGCTGACGTCGAGCGCTACGTCGGCCGCACAGGCCCGGAATGTAATGCCGGTGCAACTCCTCAAACACACTAGACTAGAGCAGCTCCAGCAGATAATTAGCCACACAAGTTTTTAATGTTTGATGTTTTGCCGTGGTTTTATAATGGTTGGAAGCCGCAATCCGATCAGATGGGTGGCTAATAATAATAATAATTATTATTATTATTAGGAGGTGGCCCTGGATCCTGATTGTGCAGCAGAGACTAGCCCTGGATCAATACCTTTGAATGGATTTTCGCTCTCACACAGGACAGTGGACATGTGCCCCCCTTCCCCCAGTTTCCTGGGTCTACAGAGTGTTCATCCAAGGTGGATTCATTTTCATAAACAAAAATGGGTTTCATGAGCAAATCCTGCAAAGGCTAAAATGGGGTTTGGTGGAAGGGGGGTGTTGTGTATGTTTGGCACTTTGAGTGCACCTGAGGTGAACAGTGCTCTATTTTTCATAGTGTGGCCTGGGTAGTGTTGGGCAGGGCCTTCTCTGCTATAGCCCCACACTTGCAGAAGATGGTCCCATAGAGTACCCTCTGCATAATTTTTTGACCAGCCTCTGAAACATCTTTGTTGTTGCTTTCATGGATTGATTTTAACTGGGCGGCATGCAGTGGTGGGGTTCTTTATACTTTGTTATATTCATGTTGTTTTTGCTATGTTTTTTTGTTGGTATTTTAAGAATTTTGAGTGTTTTAAATGTTTAAGGTGTATTTATATATTGTTTATTGATTGCTGTTTAGTTTGTGTATCATGTTTAATGCTTTGTGATGATAATTCTCCTAAAAGCCAGGATAGAAAACTATTAAATAAATAAATAAATAAATAATCAGATATCTATTACTCAGCCAGCAAAGCTTTAGGCAAGTTACTTTCTCTCAACTTCATCTTTCTCATAAGGTTATTGTGAAGATAAACTGAGCTATCTGTATATTACTCTGCTGCTTGGATAAAGGGATACAAAAGTGATGAATGAAATCATACAGAAAAGTATTTTGTTTCACTTCTGGAAAAACCAGTAGTTCAGTACTTGAGAAAGTAAAATAAAAGGCAGGCCTTCCATCTCTGAAGTAATTAGTCCTGTCACTTGAAACCTTCTTTTTGTGCAATTTGATTTCAAAGAATAACTCATCAGGCTTTTTAAGGAGAAGATGAAAGGCTTGGTCAGGGGAGAATGAAGGGGGAGAAATATGGCCTGTTGGCAGTTTAACAGATAATGTATGTAAGTATTGTACTGAAAACATTTTTGTCACTCAACACAATTTTTTTTGCAGGTTTAGCTCCGAAGTAAATCCTACTGTGTTCAATGGTGCTTCCTCACTAGTGTGTGTGTGTGTGCTGGGAATGGGATTGTAGTCTTTATCTTGCAGTAAATATCCAACATGGCAGTAGCTTTAATTTGGCACAGAATAATATACAAAAGTGATGTTATCATTTGATAATTGGTCAAGAATCCAATTTTCTTTGGATGTAGATGCACATTCATGTAAGTAGCCGGCTGCTTTGCTTTACACAAATGTTATATAAAAAGGGACTGGAAACCTTATTTAGGCCACATTTCCTAGTAAGCAACCCTCCAGAGACTGCATGCCAGTGGCAGGTGTGGCCAAAAGCAAAAGTGGGCAGAACCAGAGGTAAAAGTGGGTGGAGCAATATTTGTGACTTGCCTTTGTACAGTAGGCTGTATTCCAGCTACAAACAGTCAAGTTTCTACACACATAAACACTTCTCTATCTTCTATCCAGGCAAGCAAGAGGCATTATCAGGTTTCAATGACACATTCAAGCTAGACTAAAGCACATAAGGAGGGTTTGGAACAGGACAGGGTGACCTTAGGAGTGCCTGAGGGCTTCATTCAGACTTTGGGTCTGCAACTCCCCACTCATGGTATAAGCAGCCTGTAGCTCTGTATATGCACTTGCCAACTTCAGATTTTCATTTCTTTAAAATCACTGTGCTGGGATTTTAGCAATATAGGGATTTTTTTAATGTGACCATGTTTTAACACTAGGACATTCTTTCAAACTATCAAAATGATATGAGATTTCAACATAATATACACTGTGGTGCCTGGTGCCACAGATGTTCTGAGCTCTTACTGTGTCCCCCCCCCCCCCCATGTTCACATCTCTCTAGGTTCCAGCATTTGTTTTTGAAACAAATCCATGACTAATATTCACATTTTCCTTTCTTTTTGAAGTGCACTCACATCGTGAGACATGTGACCTCTTTTTTCCATGATGCAACCAAATCTGCGGGTGTTTCGGTTCTGGCTGAGTTCCCGATCAACATTGCTTCAAAATCAAAGGCACTGCATGTGGCTATGATAATCAAGCATTTGGATAAAACTATTTAGATAAAAAAAGAGCACAGGGGCAAGATTTTACGAGAAAGTTAAAAGTAGGGGGAGTTAGTAATCCTAAACATATAAATCTAGGTCAAAGCTCAGTGGGTTGTGGTAATCTGCTCCCAAGAACGGTTTCAGTTACACTGATGCCCCTGGTACATGTATGCTTTTCTGCGCAGATGTATATTATGGAAAATGAAAACATCTTGTTCGCCTTAGTTGTGAATTTGCTGATGAGCATCTGCTTATACTACATTCTTCTTTAGCTGAGCCTAAGAGAAGGCCTGCTGGATCAGACCCAAAAGGTCCATCTACTTTATCCATCTTGCTTTCCATAGCAGTTAATTGCCTCTAGGAAGGCCAGAAGTAGGGCATGAAGGCAAGTCACTGCTGCTCCTCCTCCTCAGCAGTTGCTTTTCAGGAGTATACTGCCTTTGTAGCTAGGGGTTCCATACAGCTGTAATGAGCTGTAAGATTTCTCAGTCCCCTTCAAAGCAATCTTACCAAGTGATCCCCTTCACAGCTTGTGGTAGCCAGCTCCACACATTTAATTATATCCTGAGCTTCCTGAATCTATTGCGAACCAAGTTTAAGGTTGGTTCTGAGTTTTTTTGTGAGGGAGTTGGTTCTCTTTGAAGGGGACGGAGAAAAATGTCTCTGTCCACTTCCTCTGGGTGGTGCCTGATTAATTCTCCTGCCTCTGCCACCCCCCTCTACCATGTATTTGCAGAATGCAAGCATGCCCTTTCATTGATGACTCTTTGCTAAGCTGTCTTCGTGATATATTCTATTTCCAGCCTTCAGGGTCCTTGTGCTTACACAGCTAAAATGGGGATACATTGGCAGATTTGGAGGAACCTTATTTTGGGGGGTGGGGAGAAGAAAAATAGCCCAATGAGGACTGAGCATGCTTAGTAGGTATAGAATGCTGAGTGACTGTGGGGAGGCAAGGGAGCAACAGAAAATCAGGCAGGAGCGGGAAAGGAATGGAATAGTTAGAAAAGTGGGGGGGGGGAGATGTTTCTATATAAAAAGTGTACAGAGAACTGTCAAATTGTCTGGCCATATTTCCTGGTTCACAGCAAAGTTATTTTTAAATGTATCCAGGGGCAGAAGTGAGAGTTTCCCATAGAAATCAATGGAATAATCCTAGATTTTAATTTAGCTGGGATTGGGCACAAATTTGCCCATTCCCACAAAACCAAACTAAAGTAAGCAGAAAAGATACATTAGTTCTACAGTTTCATAATCATATAGGGAATAAATTATTTCAGAGATTTCTTGTGGTCAGGGACCTTGAAAAAGCTTTGAATGATCAAGCCTAAAGTGCAAGGTGCTTTCTCCTGGTCTGTTATTGGTTCCACCTATATCTAAGTCAAACAAGGATAAATTATTTTGCAGATAATTACTTCAGCAGTTCATTGCTAACATTTTGTTTTGATTGCTTTAATAGCCAAAAAGTACGATATGAGCCTAAAGGCAATGTTGCAAGACCTCTGGAGACAATGGAGCCATGAGCGTTGCTGCCTGCAATCATCACCTAGAGTGCATTGCATCACATTTAAGACCTAGTGAGTCTTGACAAATTTGTTGGCAGAGAATCTAAATATTTTGGGGGCCAAGGTACAAATGGCTACCTAAAATAATGGTTTAGTTCTCAAAATAATACTTTATTTTATTAGAATAGAGTGATGCTTCCACAAAATATTTGTCCAAAAAATACCTTTTGCATGTCTGGCTGTAAAAATTCCAACCTGTTTCTCTTAGTTACTAGGTGAAAGGTAAAGCCACACAGCTTAGTGCTTGAATACATAATCATCAGCATGTAGTACAGTCCTCAGGGCAGAAAAACCTGTTACCTTGACATTTATGTATAAAGTATGCACCACCCATTTCAACAGAAAAAAAGAATGATTACATTAAAAAATCAATATACATTGATTTTACTAGGATTTTTGTTGTTGTTCTTTGGCCTTTAAAATAGCAGGTGAAAGATAATGTATTGAGGGTACAGTTGAAAAAATATATATGCTGGCTTCTTGGACTTTGGTCCAAGCTACATCTAACGTTCACTGCCTCACACTCCACTTTTCCAGTGAATTAGAGTAGAGGAATGCCAGGTGAAAGGGTAGCTTAAACCAAAGGTAGCCCACTTTAACTTCCCCTTGTTTTTCTGCAGATATCTCCCCTATGTTGCATGTCCACATGCAGGGGGGAAATAGTGGTACCCACCTATTTTTCCTTGTGAGGCAAAAAGCAGCTGGGAGGCAATTCTGAGTGAGGAAAAAACAGTTGGAACAGGGATTAAGGAGAATCCTATTAGTCCTCTGCTAAAACAGTAACATGGATGGTTTTAGTTAAAATTAATAACAAAAAATAGAAAGGGGGTTAAACAGTTACAATTCTGTGTACACTTTTGGAAGTAAGCCCTATTGAACTCAGTGGGGTTTACTTCTGAGAAGAAATGCATAGGACTGCTGTGTGAGAATCATGCATAGCTTGGGCCTTACTTTTTGAGCACTGATGCTGTATTTGACACTCCTGGTTTACACATCGTGCACATATATATGTGGATTCTAGAAGACTGTGCCTGCTTTACTCCTTCCCGGTCATTTTGCTGCTGTGCTGAACTAAGCCATAATATGTGTCATCTAAACTGGGGTATGGTCTAGAGTTGTTCAGAAAATGCAACATGAATTAGAAAACCTCTCTCGCCCCCAACTGGAGCTGTTTTGATTTCCAGTTCCTGCAAAAATGGACAGGACAAGATGCCTGCATAAGGGTTAAAAAGTTATTTAGAATTTCAGACTCAGCCATAATAAAATGCTGTGACTGCTGATGAAGGCTGAAATGATGCAAAAACAATTATGAGGAAGACATACCTTTTTACTGGGTCCCATGAAAAGCTCCTCATTGTATACATATTTCACAAAGCACGAGATAGCTCTGATATAGATATGCTTTAATCCAACTGGGGAAAATTCCACAGCTTTTCAAAACAGAAACTCAGACTATACCACATGAGGCCTTTACTAGTGAAGGCTGCACAACTAAAAAAGGTCAGGAATATCTTCAAAGACTGAATAGCTTGATTTCACTAGACAGCAATACAGTTTATCTTTTCTGTGCGTCGACAATGAAGTCTGCACACATTGTTTTTATCTTGTCACATCCGAGCTCACAATAAAAATTGCTCAACAGCACTGATGAAAGTACTCCTAGAAAAAAGGCCATTTCATTGCGCTTTTGTTCAATAAAGCAACTGGGTCTTAATTTCTCAGGCGTGGCAAAGATTTCTTTCTGATATTTGCTTTGGATAAACAATGACGGAATATTTTATATAGTGTTATTTGTGTGTCTATTTAATATATTAGTCATCTAATAAAAAATATTTTTTCTAGTGTATAAACCCAAGTTGCTCACCAACCACCCAGAGCTATGGGAAAGGCAGCTGCTTGCTTACAAGTTAGGACAGCAACTGTAGCCTCCAACCATATGGTGAAGCGGATTAATTAAGCTAGGGTATATGTTAATCCTGTTAACCTGGATTTCTGAGTGGCTGGAAAATGGTGCAAACTAAGTATTTATTTTCATAAAATTTTATTCCACTTTAAAAAACTTAAGTTTTGTGGCAGGCAGCTACAGAAAACCTGAGTTACCACAATACAAACTTTTAAGCAGTGATGGGTGAACGGCCCTCTGCTCAATTTAGAATTGGATTTGGCAATTAATCAATAGAAATTACTCCCAACTTGGCATGCTCTCATTGACATCAGGGAGAGTACAATGATACTCCCAATAACGTTAGGCATGGGTTATTACACTCAAGTTTAACATAGATGAGTTAGCAACAAGTTTGTAACCAATAACTGGGCTTAAGATGAGAACAGTATGGATGTTTTTAGGCTTATCGTTAATTTTTTGTTAGCAGGCAAGACTGTATTGCATAGTGTTAGTAAAAGCTTGCAGCTTTAACAACCAAGGTTCAAGAAGTGGCTAATTGAAGCTTTGTAGTGTGTGGAAATGGACAGATTTTACTAAGATTCACTGTGGAAATAGATGCAATTGTTTGGTTGTACCTGGCAAAAAGCAATCACATTTGTTGCATACTGGAGTACATATTGTAGTGATACTCAGATAGAAGAGTACAGATTTGCAATATTAAATGTATAAATAAAATTGTTTTAAGGCTGTAACCCTATTTCAGTCTGGAAATAAGAATCACAGGCATTTGTTGACTAGATGGTCTTTAAGCTACTTCCAGTTTTATAGTGCTGTGATTCTCTGTTTCATCATATCATGCAACAGAACGACATGGCTAATCCTCTGGAATTTGTGGATGCAATAGCTGCTGCTGGATTCTAGAATACTATCTGATGTACTAATAGACACATGCACGAATTCTTCCAATTCTGCAAGTTAATTGTGGGAATCAAAAATTCTAATGGTGGAAAAAGTGACTAGAGACCTCCAAGATGCTCATTACTACTCTCCCCCACCTTCAGACCAAAAAAGCAAATTCTCTGGTAATCACAGTAGCTTTATTTTGTGGCTTTATTATTTATTTATTATACCAAAGAACATGCAACAAAGGTTGAGAACATGGTGGAACAGTAACTGTAGTGCCTTTACTAGAACCAGTTAGAGTAATGCTTCATACTGACAGGTCTATCTATATTATTCAGTGCAAATTCATACCAGTTCTTCCATTTTCAGGTGAGGACATTTGTACTGGTTTGTTTCTCTCATTGTCCCACTTACGTAACACAATATCTGAGTATTTACACAGCGTTTTTGTGTGTGGTTTTTTGGTCTTGCAACCATATCTTAGAAAGAGATTTTTTTAAAATACCTAGAGGAAACTGGTCAGTGCAATTGTATTTCTTTTTTTCCTGCCAATATGGAAAAATAAAGAGGCAACTGCTACATGGTGATGCATAGCATATTTTAAAAATCACACACAAAACATTTGTAGATCTAAACAGTGTATACATTATTCAGATATAACATGGAAAGGAGAGGGGCATCTCAGATAGCAGCTAGGTGAGGTCTAAGAAAAGGGAGACTTCCACTCAGGTTAGTAGAAATACTTTGATCAAACATTTCTCCCTTCTAATAAAGAAATATCCTGGGCCCAACCTGACCAGCAGGCACTTTACAAAGATTGCAGCACAACTTAAATCTGTGACCGCAGAGCCATACACAGCCTACTAGGAGCCTGGTATCTTTATAGTTTGTGCCATCCCAGGCAGGCAGCAAAAACAGGCAGATTAAGCTTCTGGTTGGCTGTGTTTTGCCAAGTGGGTCAAAGTTGTACAGCCCTGTAATAAAAAGATAGAATAGTCCCACAAAAGTAAATTAAAGCTTTTGCCAGCACCTTCTGGAAGATTTACAGTAAGAAAGAAAAATAAGAAAAAGAAAAATAAGGTGCCAACAACAGAAGTCTCTCCATCTTGATCCTTCTTTCTTTCACAATCTTTGGACTAACGCAGATACCACCTGGCAAATCCCTGAGAGGAATCATTTGGCAGAGAATGTACATTTTCCTTGTAAATGCTCCACAAGAATCAAGCAACTCTTTCTAGGATCAATACTGTAAAGACTTAGTATAAAAATCCATTCCAGTTCCCAAGCCCCTACAGTTTTTATAGCAAAGCACATAGAAATGTTATGGTGGGTTTCTTCAGCCACATACTGTATGTAGTTACTAAATAAGATCTCTTCAGACCAGAAGCTGCGTTGCATGGCAGGAAGCAGACCCTTACAGTCACAGCTTTTAGTAACGTAACTGATCTCATTTTCTATGAAACCATCACCCATACTTTAAAAGGCAAATATACCCCAAGAACTTTTAGTCAAATCAAGCAATATTGGGGGAATTTTTACAGAACTGGTCCCTTTTAAAAGGCCTTTATTTTATATCTCATCACAATCCTCTAGAAAGTGCAGCTTCATGTTTTAAGATTCCAAAAGATTTTTTAAAAGCACTGCCTAAGGAGCTACATTGGAATTTGCCCAATTAAAAATTGAGAGAACTGTAAATTGTTACAGAAACACTGGCAAAACAAAGTCTTCCACAAAAATACCACAATATATATAGAGAGATATTAAAGTGTATATGTTAGAAATAGTGACAGTTACAACAGTGTAAAACAGGATAAGAATCCATTATTTTTGTATAAAATATATACATAAAAAGATGTCATGGTACATATTGCCAAACTGCAATAGATTATGTAAACAATTTTATCCTTTGCAGATGTTAAGAGTGTGCTGAGAAATCTATTAGGATCAAGAGCTCCATATATATATACCTAATCAGAAAGACTGCGTTTGGAATTTCTGCTGCAGAGCAAGACCATGAAACAATGTTGCCAAATATTTACGTATAAAAGCAACGACTAGTCTCTGGCTCAGAAACTGGCCACCTTACCAGCAACCAAGACAACCAAGCCATGCTACACATGGGGCTAGAGATATTTTTTGTGGCAACCCCCCCCAAAAGAAAAATACACATACATAACACACAGAAAATAAAGGAGTACCTTGTTTTGGCACAATGGTGTATCAACAGTATAGGCTGTCATATGGCAAATAACATTGTTTCTGAAAAAAACTGGCTAATTTTGCAATGGTGAAATATTGGGCTTGCAACATTAATAACATTTGTTAGGCCACTTGCAAAATCAGAAAGGTGTTTCCATTTAAGAACTCTGGCATAGCCAGCTGCTCCCCTGCTGTTTAAAGGAGGGCAGGGATCACCCATAAAGAATGTGGAGCACCAGATCTTTATAGTCCTTTAGAGAACTGGGTGCTAAGAACCTGCAAAACAGGATCACCTTGCCACATTCCCTGCCATTATGGATTAGATGTGATGTCATGAAGCGGGTTCTAACCATATTTAAAACAGCAACGATATACTGTGGAGTTCTGGTGCATTGGTAAGTTTAGGCTTTAAAAATAGACAAGGAAGGTCCCTCTACTTCAGTCTTTGATCATTCTAAGTTCAGCTGGACTGTATTTTGTGGAAGTTGCAGCATGGAAGCAGACACACCACGGTCTTCCCCCAACAGGGCTGCTAGTATATATGACTAGGTCCTCAAAATCTGCACTAGGAAATTGTTCATTCTGAGGCAACAAACCAGGAGATTCTCTAATATATATTCCAAGCACATAATTTCACTGTTAAGTGGGTAATTGCCATCTATACATGAACTTTACTTGGCACAAATGTCAATGTCAATCAATACCTGACTTGTTAACTCTCTTACCAATATTCATTTCTCAGCAGAAAATGTGCTCAAAATCTCATAAAGAAACAACAAAACGTGTTTTAGGTAATGAAGTCTTTCCTTACTTAAATATTTCTTCTACTTTGTCCTAAACATAGAAATTTGCAGTGTGCATAATATAAAAAATTAGAAGATTCCAGCTTCACAATGGATTTCTGTGGCAGAATGGCACAAGTGCAACTTAAGATCTGGTTTGAAGTAGTATTGGTCCCAGAAAAACCAGTGTCTCTCTCTCTAAATGTCGGTTTGTATCCAGTTCCAATAATTTTATCTGCTACAGAAAATTTAATTTAGCAATTATATTGAACTAACTTTCATTTGCTAGGTACTTAGGAGGAATAAGAGTGTTTGGCATAAAATAGGAAATGCAACTTGCAAGCTTTCAGCTGAAGCCTATATATATATCTTTTCCGAAATAAGTCCAATGGGTTCAATTGGCTTTGCTCTCAAACAAATGTATACAGGTTTGCAGCCATGGTTGCACTGTCAAATTTTTTTGCAATGCCCAGTCTCCAGAAACACTGCCCTGCCTGGGCTTCACTGAAGTGAATAAAACTTGCAAGTACTTTGATATACAGTAGTGCTTTCTGTACAGACCTTTACAGTTTGATGAACGTATGTTCCTCAGCCACAATTAGTAGGATTTAAGGGGCAAGAGCGGAATTGGTGAGAGTGAAAGAGAACGAAACCCAAATGTTCAATTTGTGAACATTGTTTAGGAAAAATTATCAGGATGAAGAGCAAGGTACCTCTTGGTGAATGACAGCTGCTTTTAAGGGTGTGGAATTCCTGATATGTCATCTGGGATGGTAGATGAATGGAAATATGGTTCAGGTTTACTCCTGACAATGACATAGACTCTAAAGAGAATGCGGCTATTTTCAAAAATGGCTTTAAAATTTTACATCTATGATTTATTGGGGATAAAGTGTTGTCTACTAAAATTTTGTTCCTTTTCAAGATTTTCCAATTAGTGTAAGAAAATGAAGCTTGGTTCTCAAAGTACTTTCTGGTAACAGCTCCATTAATTTCAGTACCATTTATTTCCTTAAAACAATCTATCCAGCTATTTAAGGGCCTTTAGAAAGTGAAATATGGGATTCAGGGCAGCTTGACGTACCATCAACTACAACTGAAGATTCTACAGTAATTACCTCTACTTCTTCCAACCATCATTGATGGCCTGCTCTTAAAATGTACATACAGTACTACATAAATCCCAAGGAGAGGAAAAAAAGTGCTCAAGGCTTCACAAAACAAACCCCAAAACCAAGGCACAAAAAAGAAAAAAAAGATGGAAGAGCTTTATACATGCTGACAATGACTTAGCATAAAAACCCACACATTTGGTACACCAGTGTTCTGAAACATGAGATTATTAGGACAACTGCTGCCTAGTATGGTAAATAATTTTTTCATTTATCTTCATAGTTGCAATTTAACAAGTCCTGGTTGTTCATTTCAGTAAAAGGCAAAGATATATGATCACAACGATGTTCTCATAGTCCTGGAGTTCAGTTCACTCTGCTTTGAACTCCCTATTTTGTAGGTGTGTTTTCTATTTCTGAATCTGAAAATAAACACGAGATTACATACATTAGAAACAGAAACAGCAAAGCTCTGGTTTATATTTTCCCCACAGGGACTCTCCTACAATACAATTTTGTTCAAGCATCCATATTTAAGCAAAGAGCATCTGTAATCCAATTAAGGCAATCCTAAACACACTTCGTGGGAAGCAAGATCTATTGAAGTGAGTTGGATTTACTTCTGAGGAAGCATGCAGAGGCTCAAGCTGCAAGAGGCTCAAGCTGGGGTCATTTTAGAACTGACACTTGCCGAAGGAGAGCATTTAAGACAATGTCCTCACTCAGATACATCCTTTTGTTTTTCAGCATTCAGCATCCACAATGGGAAAGCATTATGTACAATCTTTTTTTCTTTTTTTTTGAGATGAAAATGTATTTTTATTTAAAAAATTCTTGGTTTACAAAAGTATGAGCAGCGTCTGTCTCTTTTTCTTTTCCAAGTAACATTTTTACAGATCAGTTTCATTTGTTGAGACATTAGTGTTACATTAGGAAGAAAAGGGGGAAAGAGGTGGAGGGGGGAAAAGCAAGTGGGGTTGGGGTTGGGTGGCGATGTTTCTATTTTACTTAATGTATGTGTGGGGTTTTGTGTCAGTGTCACTTGTGCAGGTTCTCTGCTATTGGCTTGTTTTCCTTTGGTGGTGAGAGAGGTTGGGGTTGGCCTAGCGTGTGGTTGTTTGTTTGTGATTGGCTGTGGTGAGCTTTGTTTTCATGTCTGAGTGGGGTGGGTGGGTGTTTTGGATCAGGTTAGCCATATTGATTTGTATGCTGTTGGTGGATTCTTGTTGTTGTCTTGTTGGGCTGTGTATGTGATAAAGGGGAGCCATACCGGGGTGAAGGCGTCTTCTATTTGTCTCCGTGTCAGTATTGGTTAATTTTCTAGTAGGGCTGTTTCCCATACTATTTGGTACCATTGGTCCATGCTTACTCCTGACAGGTCTCTCCAGTGTCTGGTTATGATGTTTCTGGCTGCTGAAAGCAGGTGGGTTATGAGTTCTTTGTGATGTAAATGGGCGTTATTGTCTTGGAAGATGTTTAGTAGGGCCGATTCTGGGGTGATTTCTAATACATTATGTACAATCTGAACACTTTATTCCCTAACAGTAACACTGGTTTATCGTAATAGTAGTATTATTGTCATGATTGGGGTGTATGGGGTGCTAGGGGAGGGGCAGTACCTCTGGTGAAAGGAGGCGATGGTGGCTTCATAACTGGGCAGAAAGTGAGATGGGTGCTTTGCAGTTTAAATGCTTGGGAGGAGGAAGATGCCAGAGGTTACCATGGGTGGGGTCGTGTTCAAGGGGGGCATTCCACAAAAGGAGGGGAAGAATGCAGTAGGGTCATGGGGTGAAAAGCGGAGATGCAGAATAAAAGAGAGAAGTGGCTTCAGAAATAGAATTAGGATGGTGAAAAGCAAGCTTAGTAGTTGACTGGGGTGGGAAGTAGATGCTCTAAACATCAGGAAAACCGTTATGACATTGAGAGCTGTTCGACAGTGGAACGGTCTCCCTCATTCCTTTGAGGTTTATAAGCAGAGGGATGGCCATCTGTCATGGATGCTTTAGCTGAGAGTCCTGCAGTGCAGAGGGTTGGACTAGATGACCCTTGGGGTCCCTTCCAACTCTACAATTCTATTATTCTAGAGTGTTCATGTGGGAAAGGCAGAGGGAGTGGTGAGCAGAGCAAGCAGGGGCAAAGTACCTAGTAGTATATAAGAACCTTAAAGAAACAAACTTATTTTCCTTTATGGTTTGGTTTAGCTCCTAGCATCCTGTTGAAGCTTGCATAGCATCTAAGTAGATTTGACATTCTGCCTCCAGGCCAAAAGTTCATTATACTCCATGACGTCAAAAATACAATGCAAGGGGGAGCTTTATTTTAGTGAAATGTGTTTACCCTTTAACTCGCAGCATCTCTTCAAACGTTTCTGGCAGAGGATTCCCATAACTCTCTGGGAGGAACAGGGTGAGAATCCCTATCAGCACAGTCAGACTGCCCATGACGATATAAGGTAGAAATCTATCATAGGCACCTGGTGAGAGACAGAAGTTCCAAAGTTTAGATTATATTCCAATATAGTTACAGAAGAACTGAAGTAATTATTACTTTATCATATTTGCATATTGTCCTTCCTCTAAGGATACCAAGGCAGCATGCATGGGTTTATCTATTTCATCCTCAACAATGTTCTTATGAGGTAGGCTAGGTTAAAATACAGTGAATATTTCATGATATGGCGGGGGGGGGGGAGAATTTCATATTTTAACATGAAATTAGCCAATTTGGACTTCCTGAAACAATATGCAAACTGAAATGCGGTTATCCTTCAAAATTCATACTTCTCTGAATTTTGCAGTTCTCCAACCAAAAAAATAATAATGTGAACACAAATATATACATACTCAGTTTGCATAAAAATATATACATTGGTAAAAGCATAATCAAAAATTGCACTGTATGAGGGGAAATTGCTTGCAAAATGTGTATTAGGAGAAATGTGAACTAAAATGCTGATAAATTTTCATGAGAACTAAAAAAAAAAAAAGCAAACTGATGTGAAAATGTTACAAACTGAATTTAAGGTTATTAAAAAAAATAAAAACCAAGTGAAAACAAAGCTGTCAGATTATCCATCCCTAGTTTAAGGTCATTCAGTTTCATAATCCTAAATTAGATGGGAACTGGGAAGTGAAGGTTGTTTTAAAAATGTAGCTCAAATGCATAATAAATAATAATTACATTACTGCATGTTGGAAGTTTGAGGGTAAGTGTTTTGAAGCAAGGAGTGACTCATGGATAAGGCCGTCAGAATTGAACTTATGCAACAGCTACCTAGAGATGACAGAAAAGTGAACTGCAAGATTCTTAAAATGATAGGAGACTTCTTACCAAGGTAAACAAAGTAAGGAGCAATGATGCTGCCCACACGGGATGACATGGAGGTGGCACCTACGGCCATGTTTCTTACTATGGTTGGATAGAGCTCTGCGGTGTAAACATAAAGCATAGAGAAGGCAGACGTGATGCCAAATTTCCCCAACATCACCAAGATAACAGACAGGAGGTTGAGGTCTGCAGAAAAACAGAAATGGAGTCATAAGACCTCTATTATTATTCACCACCTTTCCAGAAATCCTCCTTTTATCCCAACTATTCTTACTTATCCTACAAACTGTTTTAAATGTTGCTAAGAGCACTGCAGCATGTCAGCATATATGCCTTGTTGGTTAGTGGTACCTGTAAATACTTGATTTACACAACAGGTCTGAGACTAAGCTGCAGGTATACTAGTTCCAATAGCTAAATGTAGAAAATCTAATTAACCATAATAGCATTAAATGCACCAAATAAGTTTCTTAACTATTTAACATTGAACATTTGTTATATAGGCAGGGCCATTAAGAGGTGTGCTTTCATCCATGATATTAACCTTTGCCAGAGTTAGACAAGGCTGATGGGAGTTGTGGTTCAAAACATCTGAAGGCTGCACCATCACTACCAACCAGAGACTTGTCATTTTCTGCATGGGTGCAAGTAAATGAAGGCACTAAGAAGGCAAGGACCTGGTCCAGTCAACCTCTGAGCTACATAGCTTTCATTTATGCACATAGATAGGACTAGGAAGTGAAGCTTTTATGCTTCAAATCCCTGTTAGAATAAATGCATGATGATATGTACTAAAGTACAGAGGAAGCAAGTCCATAATCTAACTTGCAACATGGATAAGCGACTAGGATAATGGAGCTAAACAAAACTCAAGGATACTTAGCTCAAGTTGGTCTTTTCCAATACCCAATCCTCTAGCAGAGTCTTTACACCAGGGGTGGGGAACCCTAAGCCCAGGAGCCAAATATGGCCCTCCATGCCTTTATGTGTGGCTCTCAGGACACTTCCCTGACCACAGCCTTCACTGGCCCAGCTGCACACCCTCAAGTGTTTTTGTCTGCCTGGAATATGTCCTTGAACTTTGTTAATGCCTCTTGCTTGCTCCCAGATGGAGCAAGCTTGCCTCTGGGCAAGCAAGAGGCATTAACAAAGTTGCATGTAGCCCAGTATATAAAGTTTATGCTTCACACTTTTGCCTCAGCCTAAACACTGCCATCTGGTGCTCAGAAGGTTGCCCAGAAAGAAATGTGGCCATTGAAATGAAAAATGTTCTCCACCCCTGCCTTGCACAGTACGGTCAAATATCAACACATCTATAGCATTGGTGGGTGTTCATACTTGGAGGTACCAGTTGAATGAACAGAATAACTCCTCCACCCAAGAAAAGGGTGCCAGCTATTGAATAACGCCGAGGTAAGGTTCGGAGCAGAAGCCAAGCAATCACATAGGCTGGAACCTCAATTACTGCTGACAGGAAACAATTGAGGTAGGCATCTCCATGTAGATTGGGGGTGTTGAGTGACAAGCCAAAGTAGCCAATAGATGTAAACATCCTGGAATAGGAAAGGGAGAAATAATAATAATAATGTACCTTGATGTTCAAAGTATTAGCCAATACAACAATGGCTAGTTATTTTCTACGCTACCATTCCATGGAGCAACACTTTGTTTTAGAATGTATTTGTGGTTTTAAACTTTTTTGTATACTGCCCTGAGATCCATTTGCAGATACAGAGTGCTCTACACATTTTAAAAATAAATAAAATAAAATGTTTTCATCCCAAAAGACAAGCATAACACTTGCCTTACCAATCAGACCAAAGGTCACTGAGCACTACTCTCAGTCAGAGGCAAGTAGTAACAACATTTACAGAATATTGCCCCTCCAAAAGGTATAGCTAAGACACATTGGACATTTTCTAGCTTTGATTTTATTTTCTTGTTTGAAATAAGAAGTTTTAAATAAGAGCCTCTATACTAGGCCCAGCCATGGAAAGAAATTTTCTAGCTTTTAATCCTGACATATGTAGGAAGGTAGGAACCTTATCAGGTTTCTGTTACCCAAGGTCTCAAGCCAGGAGTGGAGAATCTGTTGTTGGATTTCAAGTGCATCAGCCCCCACCAGCAAGGCCAATGGTCAGGGATGATGGGAACTGTAATTCAACAACATGTGGCAGGTCAAAGATTCCCTAGGCCTGAGTTGCACTATATGAGATTTTCATGAGCAGGGAGAATTATTATTCTGCTCTGCAGAATAATTATTATTCTGTTCTGCAGTTGCTATGTAACTGAGGGGACTTTACTCTGAAGATGAAATGTGGTCTAATAGATACTCATTATCGGACTCAGTTACCCACATCCATGCAATGCCAGCATTTGTTACAGCTCTTTGTAAGAAGTGCTTTCATTAGTAACAGCTCTGAATCTTCAAAATGGTCTGGATTTCCTAATGGCCATTTAGTAAGCTAAGTATACAAAGCCCACAACATTTAACTTGTCTGCATTCAGCTTTACATACATGCCAAAAAGAAGGGGGTGGGCAGAAAGGAGGCAGGGTTCTGGGGAAATTATTTTGACAATCCCACCTGCCATTGAACCCAGTGGGTTTCTACTATATGTGATTTTGGCTTTAGGCACAATCTTCAGAACGTAAACCCTGTGTAAGTTGTGGACTTACTGTACCTCAAGCGGGTGCATTTTTTCCTCTTGTTTCCATCTTGTAGAAACGTTCAAGAATGTTTAGTAGTTTTAGTGCAAAGAACAAGGAAGCAGCTATTTTGGAATTCCCTGACCTGGGAGGCCCATTTGATTTCTTCGTTTGTCTCAGCTTTTTGCTTTTTAGTGAAGACATTTTTATTCTGATAGGTATTTGACCTGCCAGGATGAAGAATTTTAGTGGGCAATTATTAGGTTTGTTTTGGTTTTTAAAAAGACTATTTTCCTTGACTGTTTTTCTTTTATTGAACATTGCCAGACATAATTGTTGTTACTGGGCCACTTCTGCATGCATTAAGGGAGTAGCCCCCATCACTGTCCTCAATTTCAGAAGGAATCCATTTAATATCGCAGAGGCTAGAAACATGTAGAAACTAAATATTCCCACAATTGCAGTAGACTGCTGAGCAACTCGCAAAATAATGTATGTTGAATTTGAACCTGCTATTTAAACACTTAGGTAGGAATTTGAACAACTCAGTTCATACATAGTTTGCAGTGTCCATATTCCCTTGATCCTTATGTGCTTTAGAAACATACACACACTTACCACAAGAGAAGAGAAAAGACAGTGATAGTTGCAATATTTCGGGTTCTGAACAAGTCCAGAAGTAATCCTTGCTGCTGCTTGGCCTTCATATCTTGTATCTTAGGAGTGGGGGAAAAGAAAGTGAAAATGATTCCCAAAAACAAAACAAGCTTAAAAGCCCTCAGTACCCAAAATGGGAAACAATTGTGATCAGGGCGGTGGTGCAAAAAAACTGAAGTCATGAAATAGGATTCAAGTTAGCTGGAAATCAGTTGTTAGATACAGGTAATCCACTATCATATGTCTAAGGGAAGTTCTGAGACACCATTACATTTCTGAGTCTGATTTCTTCCCCTTTTGTAGTGGTCCTGTTATCAAATGTATTCTGTTGTTCACTGCAGTATGTCAGCTACCTATTTTATGTGTAAAATGAACACAAGGCTAGAATTGTCCCGCTCTGCCTTTTTCTTTTAGCAATAGTAAAGCCATTGGTGGAACCAAGTTCAGAATTCAAGGTAAGGTGCAGAAGAGGGTTACAGGTTAGAAATCTACCTTACAGTAGAAAGCTAGATGAGTTCAACTCAATTAGGAGTGGGGAACTGGATCCAGCCAGTGGGTCAGGTCCTTATCACTACCCTTCATGGGCCAACTCTGATAGGCTGGCAGGACGGCACACCTGTCAATCACTTGATGCCACATGGAATCAGGTGACCTGTTTTCCTTTGCCCATAGCAGACTAGAGCAACCAGTTGGCTCTTGCACATGTTTCTACAACACTGCTCAGAGACTAAGGGAATTTAAGTGAGCTATTTTACTAACACATTAGCAACAGGTTAGAAAGTCACAGGTTGCCAATTAAAAAATAATAATCTAATGCTAAACACTATTTTATCTCAGTGAAAATATTTTTCAAAGCTAATGATTTGCCCACCAAACTGAGATCCTTATTTTTACTTCTTTGTTGAAAGCATCCAAAGATCTTGCCACAAAGAACAGGCAAACAAGACACACCTATCTTTCAGCAAATTAAGAGAGTTCTTGCTGCTAAAGTAATCAGAGCTGGCCCAAGACATTCTGACAAGTGAGGAAGACCCTAAAATAGTGCCCCCCTCTCTGCCAGGGAAGAAGGGGTGAGGGAACAAGGCAGGGAAGAAAGAAAGACATCAGGATCTGCTGCCCCTGGGGATCCTGATGTCTGGCGGTGATTGCCTCACCTTGCCTCATGGGTGGGCTGGCCCTGAAAGTAATAATAAATGTAAGGACTGCATGAGCCATCAACTGCCAGTGGCACATATTTACTACTTATTAGTATGACAAATGTTCCAGTTGTGGCTTGTTTACTCTACTGGCTTATTGTAACCACAAAACTCGTTTGAAACAGTTACAAAGAAGGATCACAAAGTAGTCAAGCACATGGAAATATTTACCTCCACAGGATCTATAAGTATTGCTGGGGCTGGAACACCATTTATTTTGGCAGCCTTTCGAATAATAATTTCAGCTTCTTCAAATCTTCCTTGAGAGATCAACCACCGGGGAGACTCAGGAATGAGCCTGAAACAAGCGTCAAATAATCAAGCTGATATTTTTAAAACTATGAACTTGCTGGTTCAAAGGAACTTTGTAAGCCAATTACTTCCTTAGTTGGAGTTTGTAGATATGATTGAGCAGGCTATGTGTGTTTTATGCATGTCTCTCCTGTTTGTGTGTTATGCAGGGAATGAGGTCTGTATTTCATATCAAAAAGGTGCATGAGGGTGAGGTGAGCCAAACTCTTCTTACCTCATGGCTATGTTTTATATGTCACAAATCATAAAAAGGTATTCCTCGTTTAATGTAATGCTAAATAAAAACAATCAGATCTGTTTCAGCAATGGTATGGAGCATATCAATGCTTTAGAAGAGTATCATCAAAGTGTAGAGTTGGAAGGGACTCTGAGCATCACCAAGTCCAATCCCCTGCAATGCAGGAATATGCAGTTATCCCATATGGGGATCAAACCTGTGACCCATGTAAAAGGAAAAGCCAAATAGTCTGGTTCTAAAGCACATTTGCCTCAATATTAATAATACTAAATTTCAGTAAAACTGAAAGCGTGTTTAAACAGCAGCTTTAATGTACAACAACCATTACTAAGGCTGTATACCAATGGTGGAGAACAGGATCCATCCAGCAGTCAGAACTTCAATTCCCCAATCTCCTGCGGGTCACTTTGGCAGGTGAGTGGGGAGGCACACCTGTCAAACAGTTCAGGTTGTGACATCAGGTGACTCAACTTCAAAGAAAAGACTTGGAAGTGCACTCTTAAGGGCATTCCAAATTCTTCCTTCCTTTGCAGCCTGGCTCGAAGTTAGGCTGAGCTGCAACTGATGATACCTTCCAAAAGGGGCTGACTGCAAACCTAGCTGGGATTGGCACTGACTGCAAACCCTACTTACAGCAGGGATTATTGGAAATATATCTGTAGTGTGATGCTGGCCCTGATTCGACATCAGTAATATGGTAACGGTACAGATGTAATGTAGAAGTAGGCTTCGTGAGTGCTTTTTTCTTGATTGCATACATTTTTAAAAAATGAATCATAGTTCAAAAAAATGCTTTGGGCATGGCGTGTGTACACATCAATGCTCATTTACAATTTGGAGGAAGAGCTTGCTTTGACATTTTGAGGGCATTCTTTGCAGTGGCACGAAAACCTGCAAAACTGAATTGCAGCAGGAACTTAGCAAAATGAGGAAATGTTAGTAGTGCCATCTTGTGGGCTTGGCTGCTTCTCAAGCAGAATCCAAATGAAGTTAGCCAGGAACTGTGCATGTGATTAAGGCAAGTACATGCTTACTTCTCATTAAGGTTGAAATATCATTCTCATAAGTTGTGGCATTGCTTTCTTTCACAGGGGAAATGGTCCCTCTTTACAGAAAAACACTTCAGAAATTAGATATTCTAGTATCTGTAGAAAGTTTTGAATGATAAGAAACTGCTGTCCCCCCCCCTCCAAATGCTCAGATATTAATGTAAATGTCAATTCATTTATAACAGAGATGAAATATATAGAATGTGCAAACCAAATGCTAGGATTTCACATTTGGACTTTCTAAGATTTTGACAACAGAAAGATATTTTTATCCCTGTGGATCATTATGGATTTGTTTTCTGTTTTGCTGATTTGTTCATGGATAATACCCCAAAACACTACTTGTTCCTTCACTAGGACTCCTCTGTTCACAGAAGTCATCATAAGCTAGCACAAAATAACGGCCCATTCCTCTAATTCTGGCAAAGAACTGATCTGAACCCTACACAGCTACCGGTTCTCTTGCTCCCCCTTCCTTATGCGGTAGGGTGGTGCCACACTGTGGGGGGGGGGGGCCAAAGCAAGGCTTTCCCCTTACATGATACTCTATGGGCCATTAATTGGCCAGGTAACAGTTGTAAATACTTGCAAAGCTTAGGAACTTTATATAGGGTTAACACCCGAGGCATTTATGGGACTGGAATGCTAAGGACGAATACTACTGGTAGACACTGCATAAGCTTTTTCTAAATCTCTGTGAAAAGGAACATGGGAAGCTGCCTTATACCAAGTCAGTCCATTGGTTCATCCAGCTCAGTAATTATCCATGCTGACTCGCAACAGCTCTTCACAATATCAGCTAGGGGACATTCCTATCCCTGCCTAGGAACTTCAGACCTTCTGCATGCATGGCAAGTGTTCCATCACTGAGTTAGGGCACGTCTGCCATCTCTAGAAGGCTTGATACAGAATGAGGTGGCCACTCATGACCATAAAAGAAAAAAATATAGTTTCTCACAAGTGCACTTTGATCTGATCTCATGTCAGGGGCTTTTGTACGGTATCATCTTATAGATACATTTCCAATGGGAATTTGAAAAGAACCATCTTTCCCACATACTTTTAAAAAATGCATAAATGCCACTTTTCAACCAAAATGTCCCCAAAGTAAGATAAAAACATTAGTTTTAATTAAGAACAACTGTTAAATGCTAAACATAGTAAATTCAAAACACAGTAATACTAAGCATAGTATTCAGGCCATATTTACTAGAAGCATGCCCTACTGAGCTCAATGGAGCTTATTTCCAGAGACAAATATGTCACACTGTAGCAAACAAGTATTTAGATTTCTGCTGCAAACAAATTGGTCTGCACTGTAATTTAACCAATATAAAATAGGACTGATTTTCCGCAAGCAACCAAGGGGGGAGAGGAAAGAATTTCACAACAGCTTTATTTCATGAGCCCAATACTTTCTTGTTCAGGAATCCCGATGGTATAATGCACAGGTTCCTCTATCCAAACCCCACCGTATGTGCACAGAAGGAGAACCAAGCTCCGACAGGAAATGGGAGGTCTATGTGCATGTCCCTTATTCCCATCCAGCTCCTTGCAAACTTTTGAGGAACATGAGCTTTAGTATATTTAGTGTTGTATTTTAAACTTAAGTTATTGTAGGTTTATTATTTATGTATTTATTTTAAATTATACACCACTTTGCACCTCATCTGGGTCTCAAAGCAGTTTACAAAGAATAAAGAAAATACAATACAATAAAATATAAATTAAAATGTTGCCCAGAGAATGTATGTTATGGGGTGACTAACACATACAGACATTCAGAGAAAAGGGCTGGATAGAGACACAAGAGGTCTGAAGCTCCCTCTATTTCCTATAATGCCCAGTCCACAGAGCTCAAAACCCTATACATGCAGGTGCTTGCCTGCAAGGATGTTTTTGTTTAATACAAAAGAGAAAAATAATAAAAAAGGCAGCAGTAAGGCATTTCTGTAACAAAGTGAATTAATTTGCTTAAACCTATAAAAACCATTAAACCACATTCTCTTTATCACCTTAATATTAAAACAGAGGCTGTTCACTGAGAGAGGATTCTACAAGTTTGGATCTATACATGAAAATAAGTTGAGAAGTTGTCTGTTTGGCATAACTCACTTCACATCACAGATCTTCTCTGAGCGTCAAGCTAAGCATAATAGATCACCACTCTCTTGTATGCTACTTCACCAAGTCATGGACAAAATAACTCTAAATATATATATATATGTATATATATAATCTCTTTTCATACTGAAACCACATAACCAGCCAGAAGCGAGTTCAGTGAGAATTTGTTTAAATTTGTATTGATTTGAAAAAAAAAGGTGTAAAGGAAATGACTGCAACTGAAAGCCAAAAGAGAAATATCCAAGAGCACTTAAGAGGGGTAGTTTTGTGTACACACACAGGGGAATTAGCAAGTGTTGAAATGGCCAAGGCTGAAATGCATGAAAATCCAAGAGTTGTAGTGAACATGAGGGAAGAATGCATGGAAAACACAAAATTAACCCTCCTCCAAAAGGGGGGGGGGAGAGAGGAGAGAGTGCATTTTGTTTCCTGAGCATAATAACATGGCCACTCAAGCTAAAGTCTGCTTCCTACACCCTACATACTGTCTAATAATTACCTTCCAAGATTACTTTCCATTCTGGGACCCCTAAAGCGGCTTCAATACCCATCTTCCAAGAAACTAGCTTCACATCTAAAGTGTATCAGGCAAACTGGAAAAGAGAGATTCCACCTGGATCTCAGATTGCTGCAACCCATCTCCTTCAATCTTATGTTATTTGGCCAGCAGAACTGGAAAAGGAGAGTACCTCTTTTTGGGAGTTTGCTACAGATACCTGTGACAGTCTTTTCAAAAATGTGGCCCATTATAAAATGTGGTCTCTTACTTTGTAGCTGCTGAATCACATGGACACTGGCTAGCTATGAGCTCAACAACTCAAGATTTGCAGGAACAAAAAGCAGGAAAATTAGAAGTGGAAGGAAGAACTATATGAAGACACAAGAAGTAACTAAAGGGAAAACTCTCTAGTGCAACCACCATAGGAAACAATACATATGGTAGCTAGCAGGATTTTGATTAAAACTATCTGCTATTTTATTTTTGTGGAACCAAGGCTAAAAAGTAGGACATTTCAGGGAGTCAGGTCAACCCCAAGGCACATTTCTAATCTCTAACAGTCAGCTTTACCCTTCAGCAAACTGGCAAACTGATTAGCAGAGTAGAAAGCAGCTGGGACCAAGGTTGAACCACGTTTTTGTTTCAGCAGCTAAAGTGGGGAATTCATTTTAGAAGTTTCTCCCTAGCAAAAACACACATCAAACATCAGCCACCAGAAACTTAGGGAGAGGGCTTTGGTGGACAAGATTAAAGATGGAGGACACCTATGTAGAACTCAAACAAGTAGTCTGAGGTTGGGAGGAATGGAGTATGGGTGGAGAAAAGACACCATACACATTCCCTGTAGACTAAAATGTAATGAAGCAAAATTGCTTAACAGGGTAGCAGATTCTTAAAACCCTTTTAAAAATGCACAGTTCCTGTATATTAAGAGCATCTGAAACTGATGTGTTCACAATAGTGAAATTTTAAGGCCACTGCCAAATCATTATTTCAAGTCAACAAATCTAAAAAGTTGACTGAATCCTTCTCAGAAAATTAAAAATACCCCTTTGTTTGCAGCTCTTCCCACCTCACTCAAGCACATCAAAAGTGGGTGCAGAGATGGTCAAATACCGTTATCAATAGGTCTACAAGGTAGAATCTGTACTAGTTTTTCTAGCCTGTTGTAACTAGCCACCACTTGAATTACCACTGTGCAATTTCTAGGAGAGTGAATGCCTTATGTTCTGTCGCCCAGAACTTGGGGAATAGGAGAAGGAAAGCAGATAATAGTATTCAAAAGTGTGTGTGTAAACAAAACAAAAGGCCTAATGCAAGAAAAAGAAAGAAACAGAGCTGGGATTGCAGAAAGGCCTGAGGTAGTGGGGGGAAAGGCGTGTTAGCTATGGAGCAGAAGAGGTGGGGGGGACTCAGAGAGCCCTGCGGTGGTGAAGGAAGCAGGGAAGAGAGTGTGTGCGCACTATGGGGTACAGAGAGAACAAGGGATAAATGAGTTAGCATAAATACATTAAATTAAATGTGATATGTCCCTCAAGAACATTTGAGCTGTACACCACATTTTAGAATCAACTTAACAGCTTTTTCAGATGAAAAAATTATTAGCTGGAGGGTAGGGTGGGGTAGGGGAATAAAAAGGCCCATACTCCTGTTCATGTTATTTGCAGCAGACACCAACTATAGAATGAATAAAAAACTATTATTACTGAAATATTTAGTGCCAACATATTGCTAGCTACTGGAGAAAAAAATTCTGTCAGGGGAAATCCATGGGCACCAGGGCAGACAGGGGCAGATGGAGGGCAGAATTAGCCCAGGAGCAAAGTGTTGGGAGTAGTGTGGCTCTTCTTCTACTTCACCATCCGAATACCCTACTAGTGAAAATAGCTATAGCATTAAGCTGCTACAAATGGTGATGCTGGAATAAACTTAACATCACATCCCAAACTGAGCAGTAATGCAGGAGCGAATACCAAGCAAAACATACACACCCAGTCCAAGACAGGTACATATGTGTTTTCAATATTTTTCTGGTTTAAGAAGTTGAGTTAGATTCAGCATCCGTGTTAAGAATCATTAGGTCATTCAAAGGTTTTTAGGGAGCTATTTCCCCCCCTAAAGATGAACTTGCAATGCCTTCCCCAATCCCTCACTATGCCTAGATATGTCAGAGTTGCAAACAAGTAAATAGGTTACATATATCAAATACAGTGGTACCTTGGTTGTCGAACGTAATCCGTTCTGGAAGACCGTTCCTCTTCCGAAACATTCAACAACTGAGGTGCAAAGGGCGATTGGCAAAGTCAGTGGAGGAAATTGAAAAAAATGCAGCAGAAGCTGTTTGACTTTGGAGGCACGTTCAAAAACGGAAACATTTTCTACTGGATTTTTGGCGTTCGAAAACCGAAACGTTTGGCTTCCAAGATGCTCGAAAACCGAGGTACCACTGTACATTCAGAAGGTATCCAACTGAAATTATATAATGTGATCCAGAAGATTTAACCACTACTTTTCTATGACTACTATTGGAGGAGCAAGGTGAATTGTCTATTTTATGTAATTTATAACAGATATTTCAGGAAAATTTTTAGTTGTAACTATGAAGAAAATGGGGATGGAAGAAAATTAGAGAAAGGGAAAGGTTGTACAAGAGTGCTCATCTAGTAAGATTCAAAAAAGGCAATAAAAAAAGCTGGAGGAAAAAGAATAAGAAAAGAGAGAAATAATTTCAAAATTGCATTGAAGAGCCGGCACAGGATGCACTCAACCAAGCTACCAGAGTCAGTCAGGCTCTAAAAAGAAAGATAATTTATCTGTAAAGAACATGTTCGGCATTGAAGACAATTCTGTTCTCTGCAACCAAAATGCCAGGGGTGGGGAATATATCCACAGCAACCAAAGGCTGTTAAAATCCTCCAGCTGGTTATATAACAATGCAAGTTGAAGGCTATCAGCTACAGATGACACATTTCTGAAGCTGAACGCCTTTCAAACATTAAGACTCACCACCACAGTGGAACGCAGCAAACCCCAGGTACAGTAAGAGCCAGTAGCAGCATCCGCCATTCTCTGATGAAGTAAGCAAATAGTGGCAGCAACATGTAGCCAATTGCAAAAAATATGCAAACTCCTAATGTAGAGAATATAATACGAACTGATTTGCCAAGAATTTCTGTGCCTGTTCAAAACAAGGAGTGTGGGTTAGCATCTTAACTCTCTCCCCCCTCTTTAAAAAAAAGTTACTCGAAATATTCTATTGCATTTTGAAAAATGAATACAGTCTTTAAAATGGAGTCATTTGTCCTAGAACATTTCAAGAGAAGTATGGCCCAGAATTAAGCTATGCTTGTAACTATGGTTTAATGTGTAAGATAGGATATAATGCTGGGGGAGGGGGAAGAAATGGGAGGGGATTATCAAACACAGCTATAACATTATTAAGAATCTGTTTCAACCTCTATTAAAAAATATCAGAATTGCCTTTGCTAGGTTTGACCAAGGTTCAGATAATCCATTATTATGTTCCCAACACCAGCGAATCATATCTCTCTAGACACTCACAAGTAGAGCACGAAAGAGTCATTCCATTTGTAACCATAGCTTAGATCCAGAGATGTCTTGTGCAAGCGAAAAAGCAATTCTGCTTGAGAAAAGCAGCCCTCCCAAATTCCTCCAATTTTCGCAGCCTACAGCAGTGCATTGTAGCCCAGCCCATTCGGCTCCAGAGGGGCTGCTGACCTCCAGGAGAAGATTTTGCAGGGACCCAGATGGCTTTTTTGGTGGGGAGTCGGGATAGCCCTGTCATACAAGCAGAGTCCCATTTGATCCTATCTCAACCCTACAACTAGTATTAATTCTAACAAAAATGACTAGATGTTTGCCCTACTGTGAGTGCTGAAGACCGCTCCCTTTCCACCTGGCCTTGGGGGCAGGGCCAGACTCATCCTGCTCAATTTCAGAGATTTCTGGGAGGCCAGAGGAACACTGCCCTGTTGTGAATGCTGACGAGCCCAGACTCACTGGAACAAACTCTGGGGTTGCGTCAAATGTTGAAAAATGCTTTAAAATGCTTTAAATAAGAAAAATAATCTTAATTTTAAAAACAGAAAATAAGGGCTATAATATCCAAATTTATAATGAGATTTAAGTACTACTTTGGTTCACTCTGAAGAATAATAAAAACACCTGCCACATTCCCCAATAACCATCTGTAACAGAAAGCTTTGAAGAAGGGGGGAACTTCCTGGTGCCAGTAATTCTGTGAAGACTATGGGGGCTAATGAATTATTTCTTTGGTGAACCTTCAGTGTCATTAAAAATACACTTATCATTTAGGTAGTCCTTTAAAATATTCGAAGTCCTTCACATACATTGGCCTAAACCAGGGAAAAAGATGGGATATGAATAAATTCTTCTTCTTCTTCATCACTCCAAGTATACATTCATGAAACTGTTAGGGCCATGGAGTTGTTAGTGCCCCCAATGCAGGCAGAAATGTGTCCATCTGTGGAGAGGGGAAGCAGGGTAGGTAACTAAGGGCAGCCCCCTCTACAGTTCTCTCTCCTCTTGAACAGTTGATCGGAACAATCACACATTTAAAACTGGGTTTTCTAAGTGCAGTCCTAGCAGCTGCATCAAAAGAGGGAAACCAAGCGCAAGGTATCTGAGGGATTATCTCAGCAATTCCCTCAACAAGCGAAGGAAGAAAGGTCCATATTATTATTGTCATGAAAGTGCATATTACTATTATTCCCATATTGGGGACTGGGAGAATACTATTGTGTACAACTCCCTAGTGAGTTTGCAGCTGAGGCAAGATTTGAATTAGGGACTTCACACACTGAGCCACTATGCTACATCATCTCTTACAGTACAATTGCCATTGATACTCATAAAACTGTACCATTATGCATTTCCTTCTCTAAGATGAAGTCACATTACTATTTTGTATTAGGCCCTTTTCCAGTTTAGCATCCAGCAAGTTCAAAAATCAAGACTGCCAAACCTAGGGAATCTAATTATTGTTTAACCTTTAAATTCCCGTTTCATAGGTATCTCATCACAATAGGCCACCCCATGACTGAAAGGCCATTGTGTAAACCCAGTCAGAAATCTTGTAAGATATGAGTGATGAACCAACTGGTGCAGCAAATTTTATATTTTCTTCAGTTCTGTGAAGAACTTTTCTCTGAAGCAGTTTATGGAAAATGAAATAATCAAGTATGTTTACTGGTGACAAGATTCTCAACAATGGGTACCTGAGTTTTGGTCATTGAATCCTGCATTTCAGTTCACAATTTCTTATTATGAAGAAGACTGAATTCAGCAGAATCAAGTGGATGGTTCAGATGGATTTTTTGGGAGGTGGGGCGGGTCTCTATCTCTCTTTCATCCACCCACCCACTCCTACCCCCTATTTTACAGTATGCCTTACACATTATGAAACAACTTTGTATGTTCTGGAATGAATTAAGAAAAGAGGCTCCAAAGTTGCATACAAATCAGTTTCTATAAAATATATTACGTGATTCTTAGCTAGTAAATGTATTTGTTTGATTTCTGTACATATTTGAGTTCTCCCTTTTCTCTTCATTTCCTGCACTTGTGGCCTCTTTATACACATTTTAAAAACACAAGTTTGTAATGCTGGAATTGTGTGGAATCGTTTCATAAATTATATTGCTTCATTGCTGAATGCCCCTGCAGAAAATAAAAAGAGGAAGGAAGATACTTTCGGGAATTTGTTCTGTCTTAGTTGGAGCATGCTCAAAAAGGTTTTCAAGAGCTGTGCTACCAGAAATATACATCAGGTCATTTTCAAGTAGACTCTGGCAACTTGAATAATTCTTGAAAATTGCTTGAAAGAACAGTGCAGTCAGTACAACATTTGTTGTGGAAGGAATGTGCACACAAGGGTTATGAGTGCTCTTTTTGACCGCCTTCTTAATTAAGATAGTGTGGCAATATTCCTTTATATACCACCAGGGTGAAGGAGAAAGTATTAGCACACTTTATTTCCTGGCCCTCAGTGCTGCTATTGCAGTAGGAAAAGAGAACATCTTGCCTTAAGAATGCTCTCTTTTTATTTCCAAGAGGAAATTTATATTAATTCTCCTTATGAAACTTTGTTTAAAGTGTCATTAAAGGTTATAAATCTAACCATTCTTGGAAGTCAGATGATGCTTAGAAAATTAATATGTGGCAATACAGTTTTGCCAACATGGAGGGGTGATAAAGAAATTGTAGTACTAAAGTTTATGAGCCAGCCTGATAATGTGGCTATGTTTGATCAAGGTAAAACAGGGTGGAATTTTCTGTCTGCCTCTGAACACTAAGGAATGACACACTCACACAAACTTGGGATTCATGCTGGGGATCAAACCCATGGAGATGACAACACATAACAGCAACCTGGGGCAAAAACATGATGTGCTTCAAACAATTTTGGGCAGTGATTTGGGGGGAGGGATGAGGTGTTGGTACTCAATAGCCTGATAAAGGATTAGTAGGGCAACAAAAAAGTGCCTTTTAAAAAACAATTACATACATATACAAGTGAAGTTGCTTGCTTTTGTGTGAACACAGTGTTAAGGCACAGAGGGTACATGAGCCTAGGAAAGGTTTTGAAAATAAACCAAACTGTGCAGTATGATTATCAGACTGAAAAAAGTGCCCCATAGTACAAAAAAGTCAACAGTTCCTCCAAAAGAGAAAATCATTGCTCCAGTTTATTGAAATGAGCATGTGTGAACTCAAAGCATGTCCAAATGAAGTGATTCCAGTAGTTAGTGGATGTAACTTTCCACAACTGCATGACTCCCTGCCTATACCCCCACTCCTGTCCCCTGTACAATCCTGCTTCAGTGTTTGGGATTTGTGGCTACAGCCTTTGAGATTTCTCCAGCAAAGGGTACCAAATGAGGAAGGAAAATCTGTACAAGTACGGAATATGTCGGTTAACAGAATTGCATTGTTATTCAGTCTACGCTGCTGGAGAGACAATGAAAATGAGAGACATCTTAAGCATATTTTACTTAAATGCACAAAGACATGAGGCATGGACAAAGTGGGTTTAATTTTTTTTAAAAACCCAACCCACAGGTATAAAATTTTCCATTTTTAAAATGCAGTTCACCATTCCCATTCTGTCAGCTGTGGTCGATAGGCTGGTGCAGGCGGGGGTGGGGTGCACACCTGACTTCCCAACACAAAGCATCATTGCCACTTACCAAGGGGGGAGGGGCAAGGCGCTGGGAGCTCCGCATGGTGTGGCACAGTGCCCACACGCTGCTGAGCATCCTGCACCTCACTCTTCCTCCTCTTGGTCAGCCGCAGCAATGCACGGCGTTGGGACACCAGGAATGCATCACTGTCCTGCCTGAGAAACCCTGCTAACCCCGGCTGCCTTCAGCCCAGCTTGGTCCAGTACAATAAAAATAATGCATGGCAGTTCAAGGAAACACAATTTTGCCTCAACAAATAGAAACATGTTTTTTAAAATGGAAAGAGTCGCTTTCTACATGTTAAAATGCATCATACAATAACATTCTGTCCCTATATCCATCACAAGAGGCTTCAAGCACCTCAAAACAAAGCTGAACATTTTCTGGGGGGTGGGGAAAGATTAAAATATCCCATCCTGATAAAAACTATATTAATACAGGAGAAGTTTAAATAAGTGTCAATGAAACTACAGTATAATCAAATTTACAGAAACTTAGTAATGTTTGAAATGGGAAAGACAAGCACCTATATGTAAACAGCTCTGATGTGGTAGCCACTTTCAAATGGCACTATATGGAGGTTGCCTCTACTAAGTAAACCATTTACTTGAGGGTTACCTCCTTTGTGCCCCCTTTTCTTCCAACCACCATTTAGATTATAGATTATAAAGGATTTTGGAGCATAAGCTATTTTTGTTTACTTATTTTACCCTGTGAATCATTGTATACAGTGATGGCATGACACAAATAAATCAAATAATAATAATAATACCAGCAGCGTGGAACACATAAAATAATCTGAATGAGTTAATTATCTGATGAGATTATCTGATGAGATAATCTGATTTTTTAAAAAAATACAATTTTTGACATATTTTGCAGATGCATACCACTCTAGTCTCCATAGGAATGTAACATTTTTGAAATGCCCATTCAACTCATTGTTCATCCACATTTTGGGGGATTGAAGAGTTTTTGAATTGTTCTCTGCTCATTTCTCACCAAATTACTGGGAAACTTAAATATCTAAAAATAATTTCCATGCCATTGCTGAAATTGCAATTGGCCAAAGAAAGAAATATCTTCATCATCTCATCTAGTTTGGCCCTGAGAACCAGACCTAAATTCCTGACCTACAGAGCAGAATAGATTATGGCAAATTTATCTATATCAATTTTGCGAAATGTTCCTAAAAGAAGTTTACGCTCTTAGGCACAGGACTATCAGTTACATAGAATCATTTCTTACTAAGTGAAATTAGTATGCATACTCAAACTACCATGCTAATAGGACATTTCAATGGAGTGGAAATAGTCTTACCTAATATGAAGGCCACAACGTAGTTTGAAATCTGTCCCATGCCAACTAGAACAAAAAGAACTGTGAACATTTCCCAGCTGGTTGAGAAGATCTGCAGGAAGCTGAAACCTGTCTGCACAGCCATAGTTGCAAATAGAATAGACTTTCTGCCAAACCTTTTGAGGAAAAGAACAAAAAACAAACAAGCAAGACCGCAAATGAATCCACAATATTGTTATTGCCGCGTTCTAGAGAAAGCAAAGAAACCTAGCAGGTTGATTTAACTTAAGACTCAAGGAGCAGACATTTCTCCTGCAGAGAGGGGCTGGAATGTTGAGTTTACCTTTTGAAAGTTTAGATATTGGCAATATTCACCCAACATTGCACGACCTGTTCATTATTTTTCACTAGAACACAGACTTGTGACATTTGATGAGCCCCACTTTTCAAAAATGAAAACAGTACCCTAGTACAGAGATGGGCCATAGAGTCAAATTGAATTCCCTGGGCTCCTTTGTCTGGCCATGGGGACTCAACCCAGGCCACACACCTTCCCCAGCCACACCCTTCAATGGTCCTGCTTTATAGAAAGGTTTCCCAAACTTGGCCCTCCAGCTGTTGTTGGACTACAACTCCCACCATCCCTAGCTAGCAGGACCAGTGGTCAAAGATGTTGGGAATTGTAGTCCAAAAACAGCTAGAGATCCAGATTTGGGAAACCCTACTTTACAGGAACTTTTGAGGGTTATTTCCTGGCTGGAGTGTGCCCCTGAACTCCAATAATGCTTTTTGCTTGCATGGATGCAAGATAGAGTAGGCCATGCAAGTGTGTGTAAAAACTCTACTATTATATGCAAAGGTAAAATTTACATGTTGCCCACTTTTGCTTCTGGTCCTGCCCACCATGGGTGTGTCCCCCCTGGAAGGATGCCAAGGATTAACCAACTTTTGAGTTCTCCAGAACTCTGCATCAGGCAAGATGTTATAAAAAGCAGGGAGTTAGCAGAATCTTTTTTTGGGGGGGGGGGGAGTACAAAAATTAGGCAGGGTTGCACCCATGGGGTCAGCTTGTAATAATGGTGATGATGATGATGTAGACTATTCTTTGAACTCAAATTAATAAAGCTTGACTACCACCAATTTGTCCTGTGCATTCTCTAATTGCAAATTAAAATGGCAATTAACTCATTATGCACATCACACCAAGAGGCAGCACAGCTACAGGTACCTTTGCTTTAAACCATTGAAGTTATGTAAATATTGTTGGACAAAATTCTGGGGTTTTCTGTATTCTGTCTAATCGGAGTGATGCTTAGAAAAGAGAAGCAAGATATCACCAGATAACAAGTATTTTAAGTATCAGCTGATGTCACAATAATTTTACAATTGATAAAGTTAAATAATCTGGATTTGCCTTTCTTAGCAGATGAACACATGGTGGCAGCATGTCATTTTCATTATCTCCTGATGAGAGATGAAAATCTACAGCCATGGAACATCCGGTGGCAAGCACAGGATGAATTTTGCGTTATTGATTAGAACATGGTGACATATTTATGCCATGCATGAATTTGTTGGGGGTTTTTAATAGAAATGACAGAAAGCAAAGATTGCCTTTGTCCAGCAACTCAAGGAGAAAACTACATGCAAATACATGTATTGCACTAACTTTGTTTTTAAATGAAATAGCCTCTGGGGAGTTTCTCTGAAGTTCCAGATGCAATATTTGCCCTTGTAAATGTGCCTCTGGAACCCACCAGGGAACAGTATTGGGGGGGGGGGAGAGATTAAGCAAACAAAAAAAGTCCAGTAAAACAAGGGTTCAGCACACACTTCCTTTTACTTATGTCCTCAAGATCACAGCCTCTCAAGGCAACATGTCCAGAATATTAGCATTCACAATAATTAATTACTTGCCCTTCTTTCTAACATCCCAGCGCAGGTTACAACAATTAAAACAGAATATTAGAAGAGTTGAAAACAACTTACAATCACAGAAATAACAATAGCATTTTGCTGCCCAAATTGTAACACTGATTGTGAAAACCTTGCAGCAATGGTTTACCACAATCCTTTTTCTTTTATCTTCATCCTGGCTCGGGTGTATTTTTATTTCCTTTTCCTGTGTTACACTCATACTCACAGTGTCCTTTTACGGAAGTGAAAATTAATCTGAAAGTACTGGCATAAACAGGTTGCATAATATTATTATTATTTACTTTTTGTAGGCAAGAATGAATACCATATACAGCATGGTACACTCAGTCTCCCTCTCTCCCTCATATGCATGTGTAAGACTTATAAAGTGCTTTGAGGTTTTTTACAATCAAGTGGTGTATAAATTATATTAAATACGGTAAATAAATAAGATGTAGCAGTCAAGGAAGTATGTGTCTTTCTTTTTTTACTGAGGCTTGCCTAAAATAGTCTAGAAAGTAAAGGGGAAATTCACACTGAGCATGGCACACTATTTGAAGCCTGCTGCATATGTCTAATTTTGGTTCAGAGCTGGAATTGAAAATACCAAACATGATCCTGCTCCCTCAAAAGTGCAGGGCGAAAATCCTAGGGCAGCCAGCTGACTGTGTACTTTACCTGTCTGAGAGCTGTCCTGATACAAAGGATCCAAGCAGCACACCCACAAAGAACAATGATGTAGTTAAGGGGGTTTTCCAGTCATCATCACACACCAGATTCCACTGCAAGAGAAACACAACAAAGCAAATCCCATGTCATTAAGGCATAAACTTAGTTTTAATTGGTCACTAACTATATGGATTAGCAGTGACTAAGCAAGAAAGAAAACTTAGGGTAGTGGGGAAGCGCTCAGTAAAAATATCAGCTGAATGTGCTCTAGCCAAATCCCAGGCTAGAGTGTACAGGCTCTGGCTCTCTCTCTCTCTCTCTCTCTCTCTCTCTCTCTCTCTCTCTCTCACACACACACACACACACACACACACTACTAATGAGCATCCCCATCACTCACAACCACATTTACCATGAAATAAATAACTAGCCCTTCATTCTCTTGGGGCTGCTGCCCAAGTGAGGGAAGGCCACCTTTGATCAACCAGCGGCATGGGGTGGGTGGTGCCTTCTCCCCACCTCTGCTGCGTTTGCACCCCCATTCTGACACCAGTTCTGCTGGGTGCCCTTCTTGGCCCTTCTGGCTCTCCGCAGGCAGGCAGGCAGGCAGACAGATTTGGGACCGGCTGGGCTGCAGCCCATGTGAGTCTCCTCCTCTCCTCCCCGTGCAAACCACTTTATGTGATTTCATTTGTGCATGCAGGGGCCTGGAACAGAACCCCTGTGTAAGTGGGGGAGCACCTGTATTAGCAATGGAACTGAAAATAAAACTGGGGGTTCTATAATAACACTTATCTGTATCCATCCTCTTTATACCATGCATAATTTTATAAACCAGAGTTGGGGAACAAGTGGCTTTCCGGATGTCACTGTCTTTAGCCCTAACTTGTGGTTGGGGTGATGGGAGCTGTAGTCCAACAACATCTGGAAGACCACAAGTTCTGCTTTGTGGTTATAAACCCCTAGCATTTAGATGTACTTTTCTAAACTAAAAAGCCCCAAATGCTTTAGCTTTACCTAATAGTGCTCCAGCTCTCTGCTAAATTTTGGTTGCACCTTTTCCAGTTCTACAGTGCCATTTTTGAAAAAGGTTTGACCATACATGTACACAGTATTGCATAAGGGCAGTTATGATATGAACTGTTCCATTTACTATCCCAAATTGGGAAGATATTTACTAGCTTATATGGCTGTAAAGAAAGGATTTTGAAGATGTTCAGAAGCTAACCCTGAGATAGGAGGAGAAGCAAGCTCTGGAACAAATTTAGCTAGCTCCTAAGGTATTTCAAAAATCGGGAACTCATCTTCTTCTTAGTCATGGTGTACTGCAACAACCTGGGGCAAACAAATCAATCCTATATAGACATAATCACCTAGGAGTAAGCCCCACTGAAGTTAATAAGACTGACTTTTGAGTAAACATGTATAGCATTGTGCTATCATCTGATGTTGTGCTTTGCAATGTAATCTTAAGCTACCCTATGAACTCTCAACACACAAGCAAATTCACCGAAATACAGATCTTTTTTGTTTACAAATATAAAATACTTTTATTACTAACACCTATACTGTACAGTCGTACCTTGGTTTTCGAACAGCTTAGTTCTCAAACGTTTTAGCTTCCGAACGCCGCAAACCCGGAAGTGACTGCTCCGGTTTGCGAACTATTTTTGGAAGCCGAACATCCGACAGGGCTTCCAATTGGATGCAGGAGCTTCCTGCAGCGAATCAGAAGCTGCGCTTCCTGCAGTTCAGGTGGTACCTTACACCATCAAAACTCTCCAAAATGTATAAAAATATTTCAGACAAATGTTGGCGGTGTGGGGAAACAAAAGGAGATATGTACCATAAGTGGTGGACATGCCGAAAAATTAAAGAGTTCTGGAACCTCATCTATGATGAGATGAAAAAGAGCTTTAAATTAACATTTGCAAAGAAGCCAGAAGCATTTCTACTTGGAATTTTAGGCAGTGATATCCCAAAAAATATAAAAGAAATATTTTTATATGCAACAGCCGCTGCTCAGTTATTAATTGCATCGAACTGGAAAGGGGGAAAAGTACCAAGAGTAATGGAATGGCAGAATAAGTTATTAGGCTATGCAGAATTGGCTCAACTGACAGATAGATTAAGGGGAAATACAAAACAATCATTCACGCAAAAATGGGATATGCTCAAGAAATACCTACAAAACTATAACAACAACATAACATCTATGGCAGCATTTGAATGACCCTTGTGTAAATTAAATACTACTAAGCAAGGAAAAATGGTACGATATGTTATAATAAAGTACTACAAACTATAGTAAGAGTAAGGTAAGAAGTATAAGTACACTCAATGTCGTAAATGTAACTTACATCGGGAAATGACGGGAAGTCTGTTTTCATACAATTTAGTTTATTGGATTTTTTACTTTTGTTTATTTTTGTTTAGTCAGAAATTATAAGAAAGGAGCATGTACAAATACAAGTTTAAATCAATATTAAATGGTATAATTATTTAAGGCTGTACATGTACCTAAGATTGTGTATGGATGTAAATTAATAATAATTAAAAAAAAAAAAAAGGCCAGGATGTAAAAAGAAGCAGCAGCAGCAGCAGCAACGCTTTGGTTTCCAAACATTTTGGAAGTTGAACGGACTTCCGGAATGGATTCCGTTTGACTCCCAAGGTACGGCTGTATATCTGAAAGAAATGAACTCTTTATTACAATGAATTTGTCTGTGTGTACAGAGTTAATAACAGGCATTTGCTGAAGATAAAATCAATACTCTGCAAATGTAGGCCAAATATTCTTCAGTTGAAAGCTGAGAAATGCCGACAGACAGCTCTGCTCCCGCAGAGCTTGGATTACAAAACTCATGCTCTGCAACACGCAGACAATTGGCAAACAAACCAGAAGTCAAATCACTTTCAACAGAGCGTAAATTAACCTCTCATTTCTACTGTAAACTATTTAGATCTTTCATCTATTTCCAACTCATCGAGCGACGATTACTGGAAGAGGAGAAGCAGAAGAGAAAGAGATGGAGAGAGAGAGAAAGAGAGTATGATTGAAAGAAAATACAGTCCAGAAACATTATCAGACTTTATTTATATTTATTATGGACTAAGATACCCAGCTTTTGGAACGAGAGGGAAATCATAGCAAAAAAAAGAAAGAAAAGAAGATATTATCTCACCCACTAGCTTTTACAGTGATGTTGTACAAGCATAAAAGTGTTAACTATAAAGTATTCTGTTTCAATTTGTGCTAGGAGGAAGAGGCATGTGGGGGCATTTCGGTGGGGGGAGGGGGGAATGATATGGTACCAAGTGTTAAATGTAAAGGTAAAAGACCCCTGACAGTTAAGTCCAGTCGCAAACGACTCTGGGGTTGCGGCACTCATCTCGCTTTATTGGCCGAGGGAGCCGGCGTACAGCTTCCGGGTCATGTGGCCAGCATGACTAAGCCGCTTCTGGCGAAACCAGAGCCACGCACGGAAACATTGTTTACCTTCCTGCTGAAGCTGTACCTATTTATCTACTTGCACTTTGATGTGCTTTTGAACTGATAGGTTGGCAGGAGCTGGGACTGAGCAACAGGAGCTCACCCCGTCACGCGGATTCTAACTGCCGACCTTCTGATCAGCAAGCCCTAGGCTCTGTGGTTTAGACCACAGCGCCACCCGTGTCCCGTTAGGCAACTGCTATTCCTTAAACAAACTCAGGCTGAGGAGCATGCATTTGCCAGTTAAGTTTTTGTTTTTAGTCCACTTTTTCCTTTGCAAAGTATTTAAAGAAGCCTTCAAAATATAAAGTATGTCACAAAAAATAATCAAAACAAGATTAAAACAAGACTGGGGAAAAGATGAAAACCTGTGGTTCCTTACAAGTCAATGGCCAGAGAGTGGAACAGCAGTTCTAACCAACACCATCCTATGAGATCAACATCCCAGGAAAAGGCAGAAAAGCTGCAAAACAATGGCCTCAAATCCAACTTCACAAGGTATCCCGGAAGGATACTATGGCTGATGGTATCAAAAGCTACTGATACAGGGGTATTCACATGATTTCTTCTAGGGTGAGGGAAAATTAAACACTAAAAGGGGAAGCAGTAAAGTTTTTCCTCCAAAATGAGAATAGTGCCTGTACATTTTGTATCGTATTTCAGGTTCTACATACACAAGCTTTCTCTGTTTAAGTCTGGGGATGACTATTCATGGGGGTGCAGAGGGGCCTTGTTGCTTTCCAGTGCGCTGAGAAGTCCAGCAGAATCAAAAGGTTTGCACCTCCCCTCATCCATCTCCCAGAAACAGTCATGCACCAGGGTAACCAATGTAGTTTCTGCACCAAAACTATGGATTTTATCCAATGTTAGTTCTACAAATACTAGGTCCATTAATTTCAGTGGGTTTACTCTGAATATAACTTAGTTGGATAGAATCCCATCTGTTTGTCTGTCTTATACCCCATGTTTCCCCAATATAGAGCCCAAGGTGGAAGCTAGGTCTGAGTAAGACTGTAAAGCATTCCAAATACTCCGTTTTCCCATTCCAAGTGGAAAACTACGCTTTAGGTAAGTACAACTGTACTTTTAATGGGAAAACACCTGAAGCTGAACCATCACCAGCGTCATGATCCTGCATGTACATGTCTCTGTTCTCTAAGTAGATTGGTTCACATCCTCAGGGTGAACACACTGAAAATGGTATCCATAACATGACTGGGCAGACCCCTAGAACTGATCAGTTCCAACTCTATACATATTAAAAGCCGTATCTAAATTGGAGTGGGTGTGAAGTGTGCTTTTATAAGACTAATAAAAGCTTTGCAGACCGAGAGGCAGCAGTGCTCTGATGACATGGCAGCTGGCCTCAGAAGGAAGGTTGGATTCTGGCCCCAGTGCTTGACTGTTTCTGGGAATCACAAGTGGGGAGAGTGCTGCTGTGCTTAGGTCCAGCTTTTGGGCTTCTCATAGGCAACTGTTGGTCACTGTGAGAACAGGATGGTACACTAGATGGGCCTCTGGCCAGATCCAGCAGCGTTCTTCCTAGGTTCTCTTTGCTTCCTCAGTCCTTTAGTAAAAAAACATTTTTATTCAGCAAAAAGTGATTCCAGCAGGCCAACACCAATGCGCTTTGCTCAGATTTTTGTGGGGCACAAACTGCAACTATGCAGAGTGGCATTTCCTTGAAGAGGCGCTTGAACCGCCATCCTTCCCACTGAGTCACAGCACAGAGGCAGATGTTACTTGTTTGCATTTATTTACCATGCTTCTTTGGAATTTCCTAAAACTTGCCATTCCCATGTGTTTTTTTCTCCCCTTTTATGTAATTTAATAGGCGTGCCCCAACCTAGTGAAGAAATAGAATTTTTCTAACTGAACACTAGCTTTCTACTCCAGATGTTTTGGCTTTGAGAATGTCCCTTTATCATGCAATATTGGAATTTTGAAAATTAGCCAGGTGGCTGGAAGAGATGCCCACCATTGCCTAAACTGGGCGCGGGGGAGCCTGCAGCACTGTTTCTCAGAATTTTTCAAAAGAAGTTCCTTCTCTCCTTCATATTTAGAAAGCATAATGTAATTTACATTATTATCTAGATATACATATCCGGAGGTATTATGGTGGTAACTGGAATTGTGTTTTTGGTTGCCCAGAGTGAAAGTCTGGGTCGTAATGTGTTTGTGTCTTCTGAAGTTGTTTAATTCCACATAGTTTGGGAGAGCGAAGCAATTAAGGTGCTACCTGGATGAGAGACAAGGAGTGAGTGGTTATGTTGCTGTTTGTATGTTACTTTATTGCCCTAGATGGTGATAGGTGAATGAGCAGGTTGTTAATCATGCTTAAAACTGTCTGGGATTTTTTGCAGACCAGGCATTCTCTTTATGTCAAATGGTTGGTTGAGCATTACCTGTGTTATCAGTATGATTGGTGGGAATCCTTGAGAATGAGGCTTGTAAATGAAAGGTTGTAAAGGACGTCTTTGGGAGAGGTTATAGTTCCAGGTGTGTGGGAGAATGTGGTGCAACTTCTATTTTAGTTATTTTGTTTAATTGCAAATGATGCTGTATATGTGGAATTTTATTGTATTTTTGTATTCAGTTTTTATCTTGAATGTTTATATTTAAGTCGTCTGCCCCGCTAAAAACAGTGTATATGACAGTCTAGTTATTTTAATATTTTGTAATGTTCTATTTCATTCTTTAAGATAGGTTGTAAAATGTTTTGAGATTTTTTTGGAAATACGTATCTGAAAATAAAGGACATTAAACAGCTACAGATGTTTAAAATTAAGAGTATGCTTCTTGGCCATTTTAACTATTCTATTCAGAGCAGAGAGAAAGCTTCAAGCAAACAACAGTTAACAAAGTAATTGAAGGTGGCATATAATTTCGAAAGCGGGTCAGAAGGATTATCAAGTGAAGTATCTGAAGCAAGCTCATGCTTTAAAACCACAAAGAAAGGTCACTTAACTGCCCACACAGGTTGGGCAATGTCAGATTACAAGTAAGGCACAGTTCTCCTGGCTCAACGCTTTGACCACAGCTCTATAGCAATATAGTCAGTAAAAGTTAAATGTTACAGTTCTGAAAGACACATGCTAGGCATGACTAAGGTAGATAAAGAGGTGCAGCCTGACAAAACAGAGATAACAGAGTGTTGTAACTGTGTTTCCTGTTGAAGCCCACTCCACACAGCCATCCGTAAACTGCATGTTCTGAAAATGAAGGCCACACATTGCTTTCCACAATATAAAATACAATGTGATTATTTTACAGTTTTTGCTTCTTTGTAGACACAATAATAAGGCTAAAGCTCTGAAGCTTCTCTTGCCTCTGACTCTTGCCTCCTGGCTGGAACAGGTCCCTACAAACCACTGTCCTGCTCTCCTGAGTCAGACTCCAGCCCCCTGCACACTCGCCAGTCCCTGACGTCTGGTATATCACAAACAAAGAACAGTCCACTTTTCAAATGCTTGCCTTAGGCTTGCATTTTACATACCACAATTAAATAAAAATTAAAATCCATTATACTTCTTAGATGCTATAAGCTGGTATGAAAAATTAACTTAAAGTATACAGGCTAAAATGTGCAGCATCTTTAAACAAAACCATCTTATCTTGTTCCTTTATTTTAAAATTAAGCCAAAGGTCATCAGCACATAACAAAGACAAAATGGAACGTGAATTGTTTTGCAGTTCAGAAATTTAGCCAATACAGTAGTTAGTCCTGACTCCTGACTAATTTACAGTTTGCTGAATTTTGAGATTTTGACTTGTCTCTTGTATAACCACACTTCCAACACCACTTTAAAAGGAGCTTTAACAATGGGCAGCCCAGTATTATCTGTTCACTTCTGCTGTGGAACAACAGTCCAATAAGGGTGACAAGAGCTGTGACCTAGTTTGCCTCTATAAATTTCTCCCCAGAGTTTCCCATAGCCCTGATAAGATGCACCTAAATTTGCTATCTTCACCACCTCTGTTTCCCCCCATTACTTTTACGTTTAAAATCAAGCCAAATTGCCTCTTGCGCAGCATACTTGCATGTGCGTCATATCTGGCCCCCCAAAGCCCAAGGGTTATGGGAAGTACTGCATTGGCCTCAGGTTAGGTAAGACATTTCCTTCACCAGACACAATTAACATATTTCCAAACCCCGGACAGCTAGTCTGGTATTTCCCACTCTATGTCCTAGGCACTTAAAGGCAAATTATTCAGTCCCCTGTTGCATTCTACTACCATGTCTTATAGACTTGGGTGAATGAATTGTCTCCCAAATAGTCAAGAAGTTGACTACCCCAGTACTATCCCTTCATTGCTGCCAAGATGAGGGGCTGAAGCAGAAACACCACAGAATTTTACATTGCAACTTTGTGCGTATCTCTTTTGTACTGTGGATATTTATTTGTGCAGCTGGGAAGCCATTTATTATGGAAAAATCTGGTAAAAATTTCCTGGTTTTGCATCACAATACATTTCGTCTCACCAGATGGCTAGAAGATTGGGATCCGGGTGCGCAGCATCAGCTAGGAAATACTTGCACCCAGTGTACTACATAGCTTGACACAATTAAGAGTAGCAAAACACTAGTGCCAGCAGGAAGGGTGGAATGAGAATCCAGCCCCATTATTCTCACATTGTGACTCCTAGAGCCTTGGTATAAATAATTTATTAGCTCATGAAAAATACTTCCTTTTGGGAACTTGAAATGAAGAAAACCAATCAACTGCCTCTTAAAATAAAAGGAAAGCAGTTTATCACCTCCACTAAGAAATGCAGGAGCGTTTCAAAGCAGGCAACAGTCTTTGTAGGAAAACTCTCTCTCTCTCTCTCTCTCTCTCTCTCTCTCTCTGTGTGTGTGTGTGTGTGTGTGGTGGGGAGAACAGCAATACTGCATTGGCCTGAATATAAGCCTCCCTTTCCCCCCAAATTCCGACCATGAAAAGTTAAAGTGCGGCTTATATTCGCAACCCTGTGTATGCAGACAGGAGCGCGGGGCAAACAGCGCCAGGACTGCGGCAAAGCAGCGCCCGCCCTGGACGTGGTATTCTGTCCTCTCCCCCAAGGCCAGGAAGGGAGAGAGGAAGAGGAAAGGGCACCGGCAACGCAGTGCGGCTCGCCCCCGCCCCCCCAGTATGCAGCCAGGAGAAGCGAGGAATAGAGCAGCTTATATTTGGGTGCGGCTTATATTCGGGCCAATACAGTGCTCAAGGGGAACAGATTTCATTTGTAAAAGAACATTCCAGTGCCTGTTTGTGTGTCTAAACCCCATGAACAATTCAAGTGTCTGTGTGTTTCTGCCTATGGTCTTTAAGGAATGTCTCCGAGTAAGGCAACAATTTACAGTGCTACCCATTAAAAGGAATGGTAAATATTTACACACACAGTTTTCAAATGACTATTGTTATTTTTTAAAACCGGTGGGTGTGACACATTATGAAAATGACACATATAAGCCTTATGCAATCCAGTTTGGATTAGTATGGTAAAAACAGGAGGCCTATCTACCGTTATAGACATCTGTAGTTACACAAGTTAGTTTCTATAATGCACATGCTTTATTTGCTGCATTTTACTGTGATGTGATTTTTATTTTTTTTACTGCTTTTAAAGCTGTTTTCAATCACCCAGAAAATGAAGCAGCCTATAAATGGCATAATTAATTAAAATTAAATAATTATCTTTAAAGTTTTTCTCTAAGGAAGCAGTTGTTTGTTTGTTTTTTTTAAAAACCTTGCTGCTCAATTCCAACCCTTCTAGTTACTCCCTAGACCAGGGGTTGGCAAGGTTTATCTTGCCTGAGCCAGATCAGTCCCGCAAAGATCCCTCCATGGGCCGGATCGCATGCGCGTGCCTGCGATTTCCAGCGTTTGCGCCTGCGCAATTTCCAGCACCGCGGAAGCGAGTCCCCACGCTGTGCTGGTTTAGTGCAGCGCACAAGCAGGCGGCTCGGTTCGGGGCAGCTCGTGGGCTGGTCAAACGACCTCCGCGTGTCGCTTCCAGCCCATGGGCCTTAGGTTGCTGACCCCTGCCCTAGACAGTGACCAGAGCAGGTGAGAGAGCCAATTATTTCCTCCCCAGCCTCCTAGACTCTGATTACCTGCCTGGATAGATATCTCCTTTACCCCATGGTCTTTTCCCATTTAAGTAGGCTCAGTAGCAGTAACAGTCAGTATTGTACCAGCCTCTGTCTTCTCTCAGGGTAAGAAGAGAGACAGTGGAGATGACAGAAACAGAAGAACAGGGGTGGGGAGAGTGTTCTGCCAACACCCCACCACCACCTTTAATATATAATCTTCAGAATTTTGCATATTGCATAGGAGAACCTTCATGTTCTATGAACCAAAGTGAATAGCACTGATAACCAAGGAAGGAACGGATAGAGCTGAGAGACCTGTTCTAACATTTCACAGGGCAGTGTATAGCACACACTTTTTCTTTGCTACTATTTATTGTTATATAAAGACCTGTGGTCATATCCGTTTAGAATTTTAACAGCTAAGTTGAACTGTTGCCAGTATGATCTTAGTTCACCGTAGACTGCAGTTAATTACTTGACAGAAATGTAATGATCTACAATTTGAGAGTTGGTGTCACTAAGGCTGTATGCCTCAGATAAACAAGTGTTACACACCGTTAAAGACCAACAGGTCATGAACCATGAAGGATACTGCCATATAACTTGACAAACTGACTTCAGTAATTGTGTGTTACTGTGGAATATTTTACTTAATTAAAACAGTTCCAACTGCCCTAAGGTAATCCTGCTATGTTGACCATTTAAAATAATAGTCACCACACATGTGTGACATAGCTGTCACATGTTTATGTATGTATGTGACAGGTGGGGTGGTCTTTAATCCTTTGCTACTGTCATGGTCCCCACTGATTTGCCCCTCCCTCATCCTTGCTTTTTGTGGGCACCAGGGAAGATTGTAACTGACACCTTTTCCCTACATGTTTGGTCCAGCTTTGATTTTATAAGGAAAAGTAATGAGACATTCGAATACTGCTCCATACATTTTTTCCTGCATGCAGAAAATAAGACATGCTGGTTTGGAAGGGATGTATTCTAACATGCAAGCTCTTATGAGCTCTTATGTTTGGGTTTACTACCAAACACAAGGTTAACAACACTTGAGTATGAGGGCTGCACCAATACATCAGTATGAAAACAAAGGAAGCGCTATGTTAGTCATTAACTAGGCAATGAGTTTCTGTCATTTGATTAAACATTATCACAGGGCAAAGTCTCTGGAAATTTGACATAAAACAATTTACTAGTGTGCAAGTAAGGACTGGAATCCCATACTAAAGGACTGGCCTTGGCTTTTTGCAATTATCAATCCCTCAACTTCATAACTATCCACTATGGATAGGATTCTGCCTTGCACTGGACCCCCATTTGCACTCTCTCTTCATTGCCCGTGAACCATACAATGGGAAATTACTCTCTCTTCATTGCACTCTCTCATCATTGCCTGTGAACCATTCAATGGGATATTACTAGGAATAGGAGAGCTGCCTGTGTAAGTTATTCTGAGACCACAGGGCAGGGTGCTGTGCCTCAATCATTGACCAGGGAACCAAGGGTCAATGAGAAGCTGTTGTCCCTGCCTCCCAGAAAGAACTTCATAGCAAAGGGAAGACAAACCTAGTTCCATCCATCAGCCAAATGAGCAATGGCAGTGAGAACTTACAAGAACTATGCAACTAAGAACTAGCACCCAAGTTCATTTGTTTTCTTCCTCAGTCACAAAACCTTTTCCTTCTGTATCGTGTATTTCAGACTAAGAAAACACACACACACTAAAACCAGAAAGTATTCAAAAATAATGAGCAAAAAGGAAGAAAAATTCTCAGATACCAAAAAGATATGCTGTTTTCAGGATGTTCAGTATGCTGGCATGTTCATTACGCCTAAATCCTCAATCTTCTTGGCATCTTTGAGATGTATTTTTTTCCTTTTCATTCGTCACTTTAGATTCCAAGCCTGAGGGTAGAGGCTATCTTATTACTGGGAGCCTTTAGCTAACTAGCAGGGTACAGATATTTAAAATAAATATTCCAAGTCAGCACTTCTACACCATTCAGAATCCTCAAATGGCTGCTGCTGCTGACATAGTTTTACTGAGCAGAATGGGAGGACTGGACAGGATTAAGGCAGTACTCACAAGCCTCCTCATTTCCAGAGTGCTGTGACATACAGTTTGCATATGGGGCCTTATGCATGTCCAGGAAGGCGAGGTTGAGAGGGAGAGTTCTGTTATGCCCATGTAGAGGAACACTGCCTATATGAATAAAGGATCTACCCTAGCTATTAATATGAGATTATATGTGGTTGCAAGCTGCAAGAGAAAGTTGTGCCATGAGCACTAGTTCTGAGAATAATCAGAAAATATAATCTCTCTAATGTGAGAAATTTCTCTAGTAATACACTTTCCTTGTGGCATAGAAAAGACTTTAGTAGTCTATTACCCAATCTGAAATTACTAATTAACATACCTCTTTGCTCCAGGGTGCCACAGGCCACAGCCTTGCAAAGTTTCACAAAGATAGGATCCAATATTTACATATTCCTTGGAAAACCCTGAATACACAAAAGTGAAAAACAAATTTTCTTCATTCAAAACCCTATCAAAAGGCCACAGCAGTTTTATATTCACTGCTTTTATAAAACCTAAGATGACAATGCCTTGCCAAAAAGAATGGCTCTAGAATTATGAAAGCAACCATAATACCAAGCATGTGGAACTCAAAATAGTCATGGCAAAAGGAAATTATTCATCATTACTACATGTGTTTACCAAAACAAAAGCTGGCATTAAAATCACATCAGTGGATTATGCAGAGTGGATTATACACGGAAACAGCAGTTTGTGTTGGAACTTTATTTAGATTTATTATTAGGAAATCATTTGGCAATCAAACAGAGTTATTATTAGGAAATCTCTTGGCAATCAAAAATAAAAAAGTTATTTTATGTAGTTCTCTACCCAGCAGGGGTAGGGCGCATACTTGTGATAATTCTAACCATACACTCCCAACCTAAGGATCAAACAACAACCACCCCCGCCTTTCACAAGCACATGTTCAGAGACAGAACGAAGGAAAAAGAATGTACCTCAAGACAATAGTCTATGACAGTTCAGTCAAAGACTGTACTTATAGTTACTGTATCTCAAACCAAGAAGTACAGGAGGGAAATAATAAATGCCACAGACATACAAGTCCACAGCACATGCCCAATAGCTAAAACCGTGGTTTGGCTGGAGCATCTGAGGTGGGCCATCTTCAGGAACCAATATACACAACCTGGTCCTGGGCATGGTCCCTCTCTCTCTTGCATGTGCACACACCTACATACAGGCAAAGTAAGTTTCAATGAACTCAACAGAACTTCTGAGCTAAAATGCACCCGGCTGTAAATCTCTTGTAAATACACAGCACACAACAGTCAGAAATACCAGCGCAATATTTTTAAAAATGATTATCTTTTTTAAAAAGAGCATGGTGACAGTAGTTTACATACCACTGCTTTCCGTGGAGAAATGCTCAACTAGTCAATTACAGAATAAACCTACATTACTATCCTTGATGACATGGGCTGCTTCTGCCGGACGGAGTTCCAGCTTGGTTCACATATTGGGATTCCCAAACATGCCTTCCAATGAACACTGTGTGATTTCTTCTACGTTCGATATTAATGATTTGTAAATGGCGGATATTATTCCCTTTTTGGTCAAGTGAATTAATACACATAGCTTCAGATACTGCTAATGCCTTGTTGGTCTTTGCCTTATTAAAACAGCTGGCATGGACCTTCTAAAACCGCTCAACCCAGTGGTCCTGAAGCAGCTCTAAGTATCTAACTAGCACATATTTATTTGGGTCTATGAAAAGAAGGTGGCCATCTGTTATGGCTGCTGTTATGGCAGACCAACTCTGCATTACAAAGATGTCTGTAATCATGACATGAAGGCTGGCAACATTAACGCCACTGTATGAGAATCCATTGCAGATTATTGTAGTGCCTGGAGACACAGGTCGTGTATCCACAGCAGTGACCATAGGAGGAATAAGAACTGGGAGGATCACAGAGAAGAAAGGCTATGATGCACCTATAGCAGCAAAACCCCAGATGCATTCATTTGCCTGAAGTAAAACATGCCTCTCCCATATTGGTCTCTACAGTCTTTTGGAACCCAAATGTCTGACAGGGCTTCCGTTGCTTCTGATTGGCTGGAGGAGCTTCCTACAGTCAATCAGAAGCAGCAATTTGGTTTTTGAACGTTTTGGAATATTTCCAGAATGTATTCTGTTTGACTTCCAAGGTACGAATGTATAATGAATTGAAAAAATATTTTTAAGATAATATTTGCAAAAAAAAACCCCAGAAGCTTTTCTTTTGGGAATAATGGGGTCAGAGCTACCTAAGCAGTACAGAAACTTATTTATGTATAGAACTACAGCTGCAAGAAAGTTATTTGCCCAAAAATGGAAAGAAGAAGTTCTGACAAGAGAAGAATGGTTACAGAAATCAATGGAATATGCAGAAATGGCAAAACTGGAAGAATTAGAAATCAGGAAAACAAACTCTTTATTAAGGATAGGAAATGGTTTATTGAAATACAAATTGTAAACAGATTAAGACGTTAGCCAGATTATTGTAAAAACCTGCAGTTTTCAAAACATATATAATAATAGAGGAATAAAAAGAATAAGACAAGATAATTTAGGATATGCAGGGAAAGATGAAAACAACTTTAAGGAACCACAGGAAGGGGGAGGGAAGTTGAGACTTAAAATGTTAAGAGTTATTGTTGAAATGTTTTCTTTTTGGTTATAATCTAAAATTATAAATAAATAAACTTTTAAAAAATGAAATGCTATGTAATGTTATATCACACTCAGCTTTCAAAATTTCCCTGACTTTTGAAATGTATTTGCCATCTGGTATGGAGTTTAGGTAGTAAAGAAGCACAAGCCTGCATCAGGCACAACATGCTGGTGGCGGTAAAGCTACACAAGTAATTCTAATACTGCAGGAACAAGCTTAAAAAGGGAGAGGCAACAAAAATGTACTGTTTTATATGCTTAGAGTGCATTATTAAATTGATATCAGACTGACTTTTTTTCCATGGGAAAGCTGTGTGTTTGAAGTCTTATGAAACATATTTTAGGTTTCCTCCAAAAAGAAAATTAGCTGTTATCCTAATTCTATTAAAGTAAGTGTCACAGATCCCATGACTTAAAGTGGATTAGGACTACTTCCCATAACATCCAGCCCTTTTCCAAAACATACTTTGCAGTCTGGAACATACTGAAACAATGGCAAATGTCCCCCCCCCCCCCCGCCTTCTATGGAAAATTTTATTTTGGCAAAATCAACATAGCAGTCTGGCATTTTTGTTTATTTGATTTCTAAACCATGCTTTATTCAAAGATCACAGGGTGGTGTACACTATTAAGAACATAATTTATGGATCATAACAATGACATAATAAAATAATCATAATAACTGTCGCTCCCACACACATTTAACGGGTCATAGATCAGGCATCCCCAACCTGCGGCCCTTTAAATGTTTTGGCCTACAACTCTCATATTCCCTAGCTAACAGGACCAGTGGTTAGGGATGATGGGAATTGTAGTCCAAAACATCTGGAGGGCCGAAGGTTGGGGATGTCTGTCAGAGATTATTTAATGGCCAAAGACCTGAGTACCTAAAGACATGTAATGATGGCGCTAGGCAACCCTCTCTGAGACCATACCACAGATAGGGAGCCACCACAGAAAAAGCCTGTTCTCATGTAGTCACCCTCCGAACTTCTTGGGTAGGGGAAACATAGAGAAGGGCTTGAGTTGAGAAGTGCAGGATCCTGGTCAGTTCAAACATGGAGAGCCAGTCTCTAAGGTATTGAGGTCCTGAGCCATGTAAGGCTTTAAATGTCAACACCAGCACTTTGAATTGGGCCTGAAAACTAATTGGCAGCCAGCGCAGTCTGGCCAGGATCAGCTCAAATCTTGTTCTGGTGAGCAATCTGGCCATCAAATTTTGCACCAGCTGAAGTTTCTGAACCACCTTCAGAGGCAGCCCCTCGCATGATGCATTGAAGTAATCTAACCTAGAGGTTACCAGAGTGTTAGCCACAGACTTTATAAGAAAGCCATAGAAACACATATAAATCTAATAAATAAAAATAAAAATAGAAGACTTAGTGAAGCAAAGACAGAGAATCACACCTTTAGTGTTTCTGCTCTCCATTACAAGAGACTGTGGCATTTATTTATTTATTTTAAATAGCAACTGTCATCACCCATCAAAATGACATGGAATCATATTAATGAAATCATTTCAGTTAGGTTGTATTAAAAATAATCAGAGCAATGTCCAGCCACTGCATTAAAAAGGACAGGACAGCAACAATAAACCAAAATCATATTGGTGTACAAACTAAAGATGACCAGAACATGAAATTGCTGCCTTATAGATGAAAAAAACTGGAGAAAAGAAATACTATTGAAGTGCAAAGGAAGGGAGAGACATGAATGGGAAACAGCTGTTTGTTGGCCCAGCTTAAGCTTGTTAGTGCAATGTATGCACGCTCACCTAGATGGGGGGGTGTGCTTCCCTATGGCCACTGCCCTAAGTGGAAGCACTTTTACATATTGAAGAATACAGTGCCATGTTTAGATGTTTATAATCTGAGTATCTGCACAAGCATATTGCTCCTGTAACATGGTGGCAAGGCCTTGAACAATGAATCCTTTGAGCTCTCATTTGTCTCAGATTTCTGCATCAAATGAATATTGATGCCCACATTTAATTAAGGAACAAACTAAGACATGAAAGAACTCAAAGTATTATTTTGATTCAAGTGTCTTTTATTTTTTGAAGCTGTGAAACTCCAAGTGAAAGTTCTGAGTAGGAAGCTATGGATCTTTCAGACACTAACCGGTAAATAAACATGAATAATGCTGGAATTATTTTCAATGCTGTATAATTTAATAAGATGGAGTGGGATATAAATAAAAGTTGGGTTTAAGTTAGCTTTTGTTTTGTTTTTTAAAAAAAATCCAGATATTTTATATCTCCGGGCTCACTATAAATTGCAGTTTTCCATTCTGGCTCCTTCTGGCCATGCATTGAGTCACTGGGTAATCCCTCCCCACAGCAGATATCAGTTTGAGAAAAGGAGTTCTCCTCAGGACACTGCAGGGGAGGAAAGTGTGTGAATTCTTCTCCAAGCCTGTCCTGATACAGTTCATTATCAACCCTTCTCAACTAATGCAACCTGCATTTTTAAGAGCCTATGCATTAAATGCATAGATGAATTTAATCTATATAATTTGCATCAAATGATCAAATGATCCTGCAACAACTTTTAAATCATAGGCTAGACAGGATTTTCATACTTTCTTCTTATTTCTACCTCATAATGTGCACAGTGCTGGCCAACATGAGTTAATTTCCTGTAATATGCTTTCGGTTCTTCTGTCTCAAAGGAAAAACAGAAGTAAAGGAGAGAACTTTATTTTCTCCAGTCTAACCCCTGTGATGGTGCAATTCTGCTCTTCTCTCTTCTGTAACTGCGGGCCAAGAATGTCACTTTTAAAATCTCAAAACGTCAGAGATTTTACTACTCCCCAAAGGAAAGAGAAGTCATATTTTCCCATAACCAACACCAGTTTGGAAATGTTCACAGTAAACCACACAATAGATACTTCCAAAGTACCATTTGCGGCATGGTTCTGCTCTTTCCAGCTTTTCACTTCACAATTACCCAGCCCTCCATCACATAAAAGCAAAGCAATCATATTGTTCCTGCCACATTCACAATACACACTTTGAGAAAAGGCTGCTTTCTCATAGCCCCCATCTCCTTTCAATATCACCCTGCTTGCTGCATCTCCTAGCCCAAGTGAGTGAATGTCTGGCTTTTCGGAAGTTGCTGAATTACAGCTCACATCATTCCTAGACATTGGGCATGCTTGCTGAGACTGATGGGAGTTGCAGTTCAGCGACATCTGGAGGGCCAAGGGTTGCCCACACCTGCTGAAGCCCCTGAGCTTTAGCCTAGCTAGGGGACTGACTGGCTCAACAATGCCACCTGTGAATTAAAAAAATTGATCCAGGTAATGGAGGAGGCAAATGTACTATATAGGTAGTTTGCAGGACCAAAGTCAAAGAAATATCAGTGGGTCTGCAACTGTAGGAATAATAACCATAAAGGGAACAGGAAGTGGTGCAAATTCCTGCAAGCTTTCTCATGTTCAGAAGGAACAACAACGTTCTGAAACAGGTTAATACTTTCTTGCACAATAATAATTGTGAACATTCCTGAGCCTTCACCAGTAATCAAAATAGTGGGGTGAGAACAGAACATTGTTGACATAAATACCTTGCTCTGTTGTTTGTAACCACTGAACACAAAGACAGTCAATATATGGGCAAATACAGTTATAGAAATAAATTGTAACTCATGGTGAATTGATAAACCAAGTCTTGCAACGAACTGAAACATCATAGAGTTCAAGCACAACAGAGCACCTGTATTAGCCTAAGAAGCAAATGTCCATGAGCCTAAAACTCAACAAGCCTGCCTTCAGGGCAAATCCTGACAAAATAAAAAGCTGGTACCAATCTTTAGAAACCTGTGGGAAAGTAAAAATGAAACAAAGGGATAAAATCATGGAAGCAGGCTCAAAAAGCTAACAAGATCAAGAGATGTTTCTGACATAATGTTCCTGGCTTAACAAACCATAGTTTTTTTTATGCCAGGAACAAGTGTCAGGTCCACTGTGCTACCTATCCTTTGCTCTGCCCCTCATGCACCAGATTAATCCTTTTTAAATATAATTTATTTATCCTTTTCCAATTTTATAACAAAGCATACAGATAATGAAACCACATGTGTTTCTATCCGTATACTCCATCAGTTTTATCTGTCAGTCTTCCTTGGTTGCAACTTTTTCTTCTTTCCATTTCTGCGCGTAAATCATCATAAGGCATTGTTGCATACATAATAAACTTTTTTTTCTGACATTTGGGTATCGCTTGACCTATTATTCCCAAAAGTAAAGCTTTTAAAAATAAAAGATACCTTGAACATTTCCCCCAGTTCTTTATAAATCATTTCCCAAAAAGCTTTCAGGATCTTACATAACCACCGCATATAGTAAAAGGTATCCTCTTTTTCCTTAGACTTCCAGCACGTATCCATGCACCAGACTGAATCTGGTCTGCTATTCCATTAAATCATAAACTGAATTGTACTTCAGTGTTGGTTGATTCATCAGGATCTGAAACCACAGTTTGATTGTGGCTTCTGATCCTGTCTGATAGAAAAAGTGAAATTAAACTAGTTTTCTGTTTTAGGCATAATAATGGGGAACTACTTTAAAGAGACCAGAATCAAAGTACTGAAGCTGGCTTGCACGGGGAAGAAGCTAGGAAATCGGGATTGGGAAAGCACACAGGACCACTCATTCCCAACTAAGCCAGGTATTTTATGTTCAATTTGGCCTAGAAACTCAAAACACACAGAGAAAAAGATGCAGCTCTCACTTAAAATTGTAGAAATAAGGCCAATTTGATTTAAAACACCCCCAAATACGTACATTGGCTAACTACTAAGCCCTTTCGACAGGGTGCCCTCCCTTAGTTTCATTTCTAATTACTCATTTTTTTTACAATTAACAAAGACCTTTAAATCAAAGTAGAAGCTGGCCAAAGTATATGTGGGGAAAGCAATACAATGAAGTAGTTTTGCCCCCATTTCCAAGAACCTAGCCCCCAAGTACCATCAAATGTTGAAACAATGCAGATGAAAAGATTTGTATCATGCTAATGCTTTCTGCCAAAATCGACAATGGACAACAGATGGCCCAACTGGTAAGCCTAGACAGCTATTATCTAGGGTAAATGCAGCTAAAATGGTGGCAAAAAGAATTGTTGCTAGGGAAGAAAACAGGGAGGGAAGAGCATCTGTTCTACATGTTCACATATATATTTTAATGCTGTAGTCCTTTAGGAGCACACAGAAATGTGGCCTATGGTTTCCAACTACGGTCTGCAGAAAAAACATGCTGCACCTGGACTGGATGCTGTAGGGGAAGCTATGCTTACAGCAAACCAGGACGTCAGCGGGGGGTGGAGTGGGTGGGATCAGAGTACATGAAAGAAGGATGGAGAGGGAGCACGGAAGCCCCAGGCTAAGGTCTAAGCCATCATCACTGAAACACATTGTAGTTTACAGTAGTATCGCACAACGTGGAGCTTGCATGCAGTCCGCCTGCTGCCTCCCCCTCAGCTGTAGAGTGGCACCCTGAGGAGGCAGCAGTGGGCAGGTGCAAACCGCACATTGCCCTTTCAGACAGCGCGGAGCCTGCAGACACCCAAGCCACCACGTCACTCCCAGGAGACATGTGGCTCGGGTGCACTGCAGGCCCAAGTGCCCACTGCCCCTAGCTATGCCTCTGATAAGGCACACCTTAAAAAGTGTGCATAACACTTAAGCAGCCAGTGCATGTGGCTACACTGTAAATGAAAACATTTCATTTACTTATTTAAGGCATTTCTTCCATACCTTTTTATTTGCCCAGGCCTACCAGCTCTGCTTTGCTTATTGGCTTTTATTGGTTTTAACACCTTATTTGTATGTTATTTATAATAGTGTTCCAAATTACTGGTGCCATAACGTGAACAACCTTGGTTTGCACAGAAACTGAATGAATATGAGTTAGCTATGGGACAGTTAGGATGATTCAGCCACATGACGGTAGTGCTCTGGTAGGTGTATAATGCATTATAGGCCATTAGGACTTTATACACTAATATCTTGAACTTTGTAAATGTACTGGAAGCCAGTGTAGAGCTTTTAGCATCTGGGCAATACGCTACTGTGAAGCTGCTCTGGACCACAGCATTCTACATTAGCTGAAATTTCCAAACCACCCCAAATGTAGCCTCACATAGAGCACATTCCAATAGTACAGTGCAGAGGTTACTAAAGCCTCCATCACTAAGACCAAGCTATCCCTGTCAAGGAACAGGTGTAGATAGTATATGTGCCAGAAAAAGCACTATTGGCCACTGAGTGACAATGATGGATTTAAGAGTACTCCCAAGGAAGAGTGCAAACCTATCAAGAATAGGCAACCTGCGAATTTCTCAAACTTAGGAACCGCTTATCCATAGAGCTTCCATCTTAACAAGATTCAGCTTCAGATTACTGGCCCTCATCCAGCCCATCACTGACTCGAGCCATGTTGGTACAGAACCTGCATCGCCTGCATCGTCTCAATTGATTTCAGATGTGGCAGCGTAGAGCTGAGTGTCTTCAGTATACTGATGACACCACCATGTTCCAAATATGTTCCAAATATCCTAATGACTGCACCCAAAGGCTTCAATGTTATGTTAAAAAGCATTAGGGGCAAGATGGTAGGCATCAATAGGAAAAGGACTGGAAAAAAGGCTGTCAATATCATAACCGAAGGCATGAATCCATTTTGAATACTGTGTACAATTCTGGTCGGCTCATCTCAGAAGCAAGAGTATTGACCAACTCACCTGTGCGGAAAGGTTACAACATTGAGCACTTCTTAATTTAGAGAAAAGGCAAGTGAGAGGTGACACGATTAGAGGTGTATAAAATTATGCATAGTATGAAACAACGTGAATACAGTGTTCTCCCTCTCTCCTAACACTAGAAGTCAGAGCACTCTGGACTTTTGGAAGATTCCTGAATTTTGGAAGATTCAGGACAGACAAAAGAAAGTACTTCTTCATGCAGCACATAGTTAAACTATGGAATTAGCTGACACAAGAGGTAGCCATGGCCATCTACTTAGATGGCTTTAAAGAGGATTAGAAAAATTTGTAGAAAATAAGGCTATCAATGGCTACTAGTCAAGGTGGCCATGTTCTGCTTCACTATTTCAATATGAGATGCTGGGAGAGCACTGTTGCATTCATGTCCTGCTTGTGACCTTCCTACAGGCTGGCCACTGAGAGAACATGATGCTACACTAGATGGACTTCTGGCCTGATGCAGCAGGTTCTTCTTATGGTAGAAGGACCCCATAGTGCAAATGCCAGTGGGCTGATGGACAGTTGGACAAAGCCATACTCTGTGAACTGTCCTAAAGCTAGAAGTTAACAACAGGCAGCAACCATTTTACGCATATCTGATTGATGCACGACTGAAAACAGGGCATAATGGGGAGGGGTGGACTTATGCGCACTCTGCATAAGTCTTAACTTTTCATGGTCGGAATTTGGGGGAAGGGAGGCTTATATTCAGGCCAATTTGGTATTGCTGTTCTCCCCACCACACACACACACACACACACACACACACACACACACAGTTTTCCTACAAAGTCTGTTGCCTGCTTTGAATTACAATGCCATCAATCCCACTGCACAAAGTCAGTTTAGGAGGATACTATGGTCAAGCAACAACAGGAGTGTACTCTCCTGCTCATGATAAAGGTTAGCTAACACTGCTTTATTATACTGTATCTGTTGTTGTTTTATGTGAGATACCCCAAGAGTTTTAAACTGAAAAGCAGCATCTAAACATTTTTTAATAACAACAACCACAACATCCACCTCAACACAAGGTTTCCAAAATGCTGCTAGGGCAGGGAAGAAGGGACAATATTATTGCTTATTGTAGGTGTCCCTGTACAACTCTATTCAACAGAGCAACCACAACAGAAACAAATGCTAGGAGAAGAACTATTTTGTGAGTAGCTAGGAAATGCTCTCTCTGTCTTTCTGCGAAGTAAAGACTTTGAGGAAGTATTTAAGACTGGGAAACAACTGCACACATAATAAGAGCAAGAGCAAGCCAATGGCCCATCTAGTCCAACATTCTGTTTTCACAGTGGCCACCCAGATACCTGTGAGAAACCCGCAAGCAGGATATCAGCACAAGAGCACTCTCTCCTCTGTGGCCTCCAGCAACTGGTATTAGGAAACATTATGGCATCTAGTGACTTAATGCACAATCAGTCAATCTTGTTGAAAGACCCCACATCAACTTAAAACTGCAGTTCACTGACTACTGGTAAGATGTGGTGCTTTTTCAGATGTTTCGGAAGATCACAATAAAAATAATGGGCTTGTGCATCTTATTCATAACTATATGTTCCGTTTCACTGACCCCATTTTCAAGACCAACAAGAGTCAGTTAAGAATAGTCAAGTCTTCATTTAAATGTCGAAACAGTATTAAACTGCAGAAAGGATAGAGTTTAAATTGATGTCTTTCAAGCAGTCTCCCGGATAGCATCCATAACATGAGGCAATGTAGCGGTTCCCAAACAAGCAAGTCTGAACAGTGGCCTGACCAGTTTACTGGGAGTAAATTCCATTGAGCTCGATGGGGCTTACTTTTGAGTCAGCAGGTATAGGATTGGACTGTTAATATTACCACTCAAGTACGGTATATACAAAAGGTACATGTTGGGTTAACATAATCCATAATCCTCCAAATATTAAGCATGAATGTTTCAGAAATGAGTCAGAGTTTCAACTCTCATCTACAAAACAGTCTATTCCAATAGAACAATTGTTTGTGACATGAAGATTTAAAAAAAATAACAATGAAAAAAGAGAAATCTGATGTTATCTCTAGATTAGTTCTAGAAATTGGGTAATTATTACTACCAGATTTATCCTAGATTAGTTACGGTAATCTAATTTGTTTTGGACTGTGCTCCTTTCTTCTTCCCCTTAAGGAGGTGAAATAACATGTTTTTAAAATTGTATTATGACAACACCCTTTATATGACACACCCTTAGCTACCACATTGATGTTATTCCACACCAGTGCCCACACTTACACAGTTCAACAGAACTCTAAGGAGTTGATCTAATCTGACCTGACATAATTAGCATGCTAGCAATAGCTGTGGTTTTTTATTTATTTACAGTAGCCTACCAGTCCAGGATACAGATGGCAAGGGGAGGTACTTATGAAGTATTCTGGTTGCTGATCATAAGGGTGCCTATATGTTTTCCTCCATATGGTAAGAAGAAGCTTGGGAAGGGAGTGACAGCTGGAGAACAACACACAGGGAGAAGGGTACAAAACAACAAATCTTTCCCAGCATCATGGCTGTCTTACCCAGAAGAGCCTGATCCATCAGATAACTTAGAGCCTCACTCTGGTGTTGTGTTTTGCAGTCAGATTTTTTCCCTCTGATATGATTCCCTTGAGAGCAGAATCCATTAACACAAAATATTATGGGTGCATTCAGTTTATTTACACGTGTGAACCAAACCAACACATCATCCACCTACACACAGCACATACAACACTTTGCAATGGAGCCAGTCCACACGTTCAACAGTCAGAGGTCTAATAGTGACGTATAGCGACGTGGCATCAAGCGGCTATAAGAGTAGGGGCCCTAAATGTTTCCTGGGTTGGATGGGTAAACAGGTCCCTTATGGTACTGCTGGATCTTAACCATACGAAGCTAAATGCATTGAACGGGATCTGTTACATGGGCCCCAATGTATGCATGCACGTTGCCTGAGGGCCTTTCTCGGTCCCTTCCTCATACACCCAAGAGATCACGAACAAAGCAGCATTGTCCCTACGCATGGAAGGGCGAGGAGCAGAGGCTTGTGCCACGACTTCAGAGAGGCAAACGGACCGAGGTGCCGCGCGATGCACGAGACAATGCCAGAAAAGCAGGAAAGCTTGCGAAGAAGACCCCCCGCAGCCTAAATGCAACCCTTCCTCCGGGGAGCCAGGCGGCAGCAGAAACGAATACAACCGCGCGGGCGACACGTGCCCCCAGGACAAGCGCCGGAGCCGGCCTCCGCTCTTACGAAGGGGAGCTCGGCGGCGCGTCGGCCCCGGAGCGCATCTTCTGCGCGTGCTGCAGCCGACCAGGCCCCTCCTGAGCCCCGACCCGCTCCTCCATTTTCTGACTCCGAGGCTCCAGACACGCGCGCCTCCTTTCCCTCACGCCGGCAACACACGCAGTTCACTCTCCCTTCCACCCACAGCTGACGCTTCCGCACACAAACACACACACGCGCCACAGCCCAGTCATAATAATCAGCCTCCCGGAGCAGCTGCTGCGGCGCCTGCCCGCCGCCCCTCCCTACCTCGCTGACGATGGTGGAGAGGTAGGGCTCTCGGCTGTACTCCCAGCCGTCCAGGCACTTCTCCTGCTCCACCTGGCTGAGGTTGACGTCCCGCCCGGGCACCAGGTTGCGGGCGGAGAAGTTGGCCAGGGCCTCCAGGCTGTAGCGGCGGCAGCGCTGCGGGACCTGCTGCCCGCCGCGCTCCTCCAGCGGGATGCTGGCGTTGAGCCACTCGCCGCTCAGGTTGGCGCTGGCCGGCACCCGGCACCGGTGCTCGGGGGTGCCGGCCAAGAAGACGGCGGACATGCCGTTGAAGCCGTTGGGGATGATGCTGGCGCTGAGCAGGAAGAAGATGAGGCGCTGGAAGGGGCCCCACTCGCCCAGGAAGGCGATGATGTCGTCGTAATCTCGCATGGCGGCGGCGGCGGCGGCGGCGGCGGGAGGCTGACGGAGACGCAGCAGCGGAGCGCACACCGCCGAGTGGGTATGAGGCAGCGGCAGCCGCGCTGCGCTCTCTTGACTGGCTCTGTCATCTCTCCGGAGGTGGGGTCTTCCCCCGGCGGACTCCGCCTTTCCCGCGCACACCCCCTTCGCCTGGGCGACCGGCGCTAACCGGTCCTGACCGAGATAACCTTCGCTGGGGCTGCGAGCGGGTTCCCGCTGCTGGAGGGAGGCGCCGGCGACGAGCCCGCCCCAAGGCGCTCCGCCTGCCTCGCCGCGCCCGGGCCTTTGGGCGGGAAACGCAATCTGGAGGAGGCTGCCATCCAGGCGGGCGCGGGATGGACTGAGGCAGAGAGCGCCGCACGAGAACTAAGGCCCTGGTTTTCGCTGCCCAGTGGCCTGCCGGTCGCGCTGTTTCCAGACGCAAAAAATAGCTTCTGTGAGGAATCTATTAAGAGAAAGGTGGCCAAGCACCGTGCGAAGAACTTTAAAACACTTCCTTGAAAGGGGTGTCGCTCTAAAGGTGCGAATGTTCGTTTTCAAAAATTACGGGGCCTCACCTTGTATAACAGGGTGGTGGGTTTTTTTAATGACCCAAGGATAAAGTACTCTTGAGTATCTGCAGGGTGCATTTCTTTTGTGAACCTTATTTTCTTTGTCCTGAATATGTCCAGCGAAGGGATGACTGCTTAGAGGAGCGCAGAGAGAAGAAACGCCATGGTGCATCTGTAATAGCAAAACTAGACGCCTTCATCTGACCCAGTTGCAATAAACCATGTCTCTCCTGTATTGGTCTCTACAGCCACAGTAAGCGCTGCAGCCTTCCAACAGTTTGACTTCACCCTTAAAGGCGCATTCATTCCTCCATTGTCTCCCAAGACAGATGGATGCCGACTGAACAGGCAGGCTTTTTGTTTATTTTTATTTATTATTACAGTTCTATTCCACCTTTCCTCCAATAAGCTCAAAGTGGCATATATTTCCCATTTTGTACTTGCAACACATACACTAAAAAACAGTGGCCAGCTCAAGGGAGCTTCATGGTTAAATCGGGATTTGAACCCTGGTCTTCCAGCTCCTAGTTCAACACGTAACCACTGCACCACATGCACATACGATGAAATGTGGTATCCTTATTCTTAGTAAAATTATCATGATGGCAGGGGATATCGGAGAAATGTTGGAGGGTATGGTACAGCTACCAATGCCACTGGCAGGTGGCACAGTGGTGGTGAGTGTCCTGTGGGTGGTGGTGGTGTGGCAGAGCAGGATGGCACTTCCTGTGTTGCCACAAGTGGTGAAATGGAATGTACCACCCCTGACCTCAACCTGTCAGTTCTGATGGAAGGCAGGCAAGCACCCACAGCCCAAGTGGGGCTCACTAGCTTGGGGTTTCCCTGAGTTTATGACAAATCATATATCGGGACTCTCCTGTGTGAGTGCCTGAGGGCCCTGCTCTTGCCACTTACCATCTGGCCTGGGGCGGGGCCTGAAGCCTCACAAGGACTGCTTGCGGCTTGCTGCCTGCTGCCCAGGAAGACTCCCCTGTGTGAGTGCCTGAGGGCCCTGCTCTTGCCACTTACCATCTGGCCTGGGGCGGGGCCTGAAGCCTCACAAGGACTGCTTGCTGCCTGCTGCCCAGGAGGACTCCCCTGTGTGAGTGCCTGAGGGCCCTGCTCTTGCCACTTACCATCTGGCCTGGGGCGGGGCCTGAAGCCTCACAAGGACTTCTTGCGGCTTGCTGCCTGCTGCCCAGGAAGACTCCCCTGTGTGAGTGCCTGAGGGCCCTGCTCTTGCCACTTACCATCTGGCCTGGGGCGGGGCCTGAAGCCTCACAAGGACTTCTTGCGGCCTGCTGCCTGCTGCCCAGGAAGACTCCCCTGTGTGAGTGCCTGAGGGCCCTGCTCTTGCCACTTACCATCTGGCCTGGGGCGGGGCCTGAAGCCTCACAAGGACTGCTTGCTGCCTGCTGCCTGCTGCCCAGGAGGACTCCCCTGTGTGAGTGCCTGAGGGCCCTGCTCTTGCCACTTACCACCTGGCCCAGGGCGGGGCCTGACAGGCCTCACTAGGACAGTTGCTGTTACTGCTGGAGGGGCACAGAGTGTTTTTAAAATGTTTTTAAAAATTTCTTTTGAATTTTTTGTATGTGGGGGTGGGATGGATGTTTGGTTGGGCTTGGGGAATTTTTTTGATTTTGTTGTTTTTGTAATTTTTACAGTTTTTTGTTTGTATTGTTTTATTGGTTTTGTTTGTTTGTTTGTTTGTTTGTTTAAGGTGTTATTTTGTTCTTAAGGGGAGGGGTCAGGGCTGCCGGGGAGTGGGCCCCAGCCCACAAAATGGCTGGGGCATGTTCCACAGGGGGGCGATGCACTGGGACAACCGATCTCAGTGATCACGGGTAGGAGGAGGAGTTACGCTAAGATTAGACCATGTCATTACTGAGGGGGCAGGTTTAGTCGTTGTCTGAGGACTATTCCTGCCTCCGGGTCTGGTCCTGACCAGATGGATACTAGAATCAGCAAGGGATACCCACATGACCTGAAGGTGTTGCTGTGCAATGCCAGGTCAATGATTCATAAGACCACTGCCATCCATGACTTGATCATGGATGGAGGATTTGACCTGGCATGTGTAACAGAGACTTGGTTGGATGAAGCAGATGGGCCTGTCCTTGCCGCTGCTTGTCCACCAGGTTTCTCTTACGCACAGCAACCCAGGTCATGTGGGCGGGGAGGGGGTTGCAGTGATTTTTAGGAAGTCATTAGTTTGCACCAGGCGTCCTATTGGGAAGACCCAGTTTTCCGAGTGCATGTTCTGGAAGTTGGGCAATAGGGGCAGTACAGGATTCCTTTTGGTGTACCGACCTCCCCGCTGCACCAAGGATTCCCTGCCCGAGCTGCTTCAGGTCGTGGCGGATGTTCTCCTGGAGACACCTAGTTTGGTCGTCCTAGGGGATTTTAACATCCATGCCGACACGACCTTACAAGGGGCCGCTCGGGACTTCGTGGAAAGCATGGCCTCCATGGGGCTGTCCCTGAATAAGTCTGGCCCAATCCATAGCCGCGGATATGCCTTGGACCTGGTGTTTACCTCTATGGATGTTGGTGATCTGACACTAAGTAAAAGCGAAACGAAAGAAGTGCCATGGTCAGATCACTTCCTGGTGCAACTGGACTTCTCTGCGACCCATCCCCTCTGCAGGGAGGTGGGACCAATTCGGATGGTCCGCCCCCGCCACTTAATGGATCCAAATGGTTTCCAGAGAGTGGTAGGGGATGCTTTATCCCATGTTGATGGCCTTTCAGCTGATTCCCTGGTGGCCCGCTGGAATGTGGAGTTAACCAGGGCTATTGACTGTTTGGCTCCGAAGCGCCCTCTCCGATTGCATGGAGCCTGGACAGCCCCGGGGTTTTCCACGGATCTGAGGGCAATGAAACAATCGTTGGGCTGGCTAGAGCGCCGGTGGCGGATAACTCATTCCGAATCTGACCGGACACAGGTTAGAGCTCAACATCGAGCCTACCAAGTGGCGATAGCGATGGTGAAGAAGAATTTCTTCACCGCCTCTATTGCATCTGCAGAAAATAGCAGCAGGAGACTTTTTCAGGTGGTTCACAACTTAGCGGAACCACCTGCAACATCGGGGCCCAGTACGGGCCACATGTTCTCCTGCAATGATTTTGCAAAGTTTTTTGCAGATTCCCGCTCAGATTCGGGAAGAAGTAGATTCCACCGTGGGAGCAGGGCCGGGGTGGGAGAGTGCTAGAGTCCTGTCTAGTCAAGTTGCGTGGGATCAATTCCAGTCTGTTACCTCTGAGGATGTGGACAGGCTGCTTGGACGAGTGAAGCCAACTACCTGTCTCCTGGATCCTTGCCCATCCTGGCTTATAAAAGCTAGCCGGGAAGGACTGGGCGATGGGCTTCTTGGGGTGGTGAATGCTTCCCTCCGTGAGGGAGCCTTCCCAGACCCGCTGAAAGAGGCGGTTATTAAACCGCTTCTTAAAAAACCATCTTTAGATGCGGCCACGATGGCCAACTATCGCCCAGTCTCAAATCTTCCATTCTTGGGCAAGGTGATTGAGCTAGTGGTTGCTGAACAACTCCAGGCACGCATTGAAGAAGCGGACCATTTGGATCCCTTCCAGTCGGGATTCAGGCCTCATCATGGAACTGAAACTGCCTTGGTCGCACTGGTTGATGATCTCCAGCAGGCTAGGGACAAAGGTGAGAGCTGTTTCCTAGTTCTGCTGGATCTCTCAGCGGCGTTTGATACCATCGACCATAACATCCTTCTGGACCGTCTTGAGGGGCTGGGAGCTGGGGGCACTGTCATACAGTGGTTCCGCTCCTTCCTCCTGGGCCGTGTTCAGAAAGTGGTGGGGGGGATGAGTGTTCAGACCCCTGGGCTCTCACTTGTGGGGTGCCTCAGGGTTCTGTCCTCTCCCCCATGCTTTTCAACATTTACATGCAGCCGCTGGGAGAGATCATCAGGAGGTTTAGGCTGGGTGTTCATCAGTATGCAGATGATACCCAGCTCTATCTCTCTTTTAAATCAGAACCAGTGAAGGCGGTGAAGGTCCTGTGTGAGTGTCTTGAGGCGGTTGGAGGATGGATGGCGGCTAACAGATTGAGGTTGAATCCTGACAAGACAGAAGTACTGTTTTTGGGGGACAGGAGGCGGGCAGGTGTGGAGGATTCCCTGGTCCTGAATGGGGTAACTGTGCCCCTGAAGGACCAGGTGCGCAGCCTGGGAGTCATTTTGGACTCACAGCTGTCCATGGAGGCACAGGTCAAATCTGTGTCCAGGGCAGCTGTTTACCAGCTCCATCTGGTACGTAGGCTGAGACCCTATTTGCCTGCGGACTGTCTCGCCAGAGTGGTGCATGCTCTGGTTATCTCCCGCTTGGACTACTGCAATGCGCTCTACGTGGGGCTACCTTTGAAGGTGACTCGGAAACTACAACTAATCCAGA